TGGAATTACTAGCACCAGTCTCCATTCAAATTAACTGAAAAGGTATTAACAACAAAAATTATTTTTATAGTTAAAAAAATATATTTAAATTCGTATCTAATTTAGAAAGTTAAAGAATCAAACAATACTGATTGAGACAGTTGCCTAGTGAAATAAACGCAACGAAAGAAATAACATATTCGAATTAAAAAAATATAGCATTGACTTGGAATTGTTTATGGTTTTTTTAATGATACAAATCAGATTGATAACAACTATTCAAATAATAAAGGGATTAGTCTTATGATCACTACCTATATCAATTCATCCAGTTTAATTTCAAACTTTCAGTACCTAGTTTAGTTAGTTAATTAGTTTCAAAACAAATCAAACTAAGAGTATCAAAATAATTTTTGTGTACCTAGCTTCAAAATAAATCAAAATAATAGTTATCAATTCATCCAGTTTCAAACTTTCAGTACCTAGTTTAGTCAGCACCTATATCATTTAGTTAGTTAGTTAGTTTCAAAACAAATCAAACTAAGAGTATCAAAATAATACTAAATAAATGGAATAGTCCAACTTTTACATAAGTGATAAACCAAGGCATTTATAATTTACATTTTACATAGGTCAGAAGTTGCATCTGCCTCTACCTAAAAAGTAAAAAGACTAAAAACAAAAGCAGAGCAACAGTACATCAGTACCCTAAAAAAAGCAGAGCAATAGAGGTCTCGTTCGTAAATCTTAATCGACAAACAAGTGAACTACCAGACACAGAAAAAATCATCGATTAATAGCTAAAAGCCTAAATACCTGGATAACTGAACACGTTGACTGGTCGTAGACTAGCAGGCCGCAGCTGAAGGTTGAAGATGATGAACAGGACGGCAAGAACAGAGGGTTTAATGCTATTATAGTAGCAGCGGATTTTAGAGTTTGTAACAAGGAAGGAGTCCTCCGATATAGGTAAGTAATTATAAATTTCAAAAATTTCCTAATCTTTGATGGATGGTTTCTGAAATCTCCTAATCTTGGGCCGCCTGAGGGCTTGTGCATTGGAGTTCCAAGGAAGCTGTGACAACCACTTAGCACTTGTGGAGTTTGCCTACAACAACAGTTATCAGGCAAGTATCGGCATGCCCCCATATGATGCATTATATGGGAGGAGGTGTCGAACACCGTTATGCTTGGACGAGGTTGGCATGGCCAAACTCGAGGGAACGGAATTGGTTGAGATCACCAAGTCAAAGGTGAAGTTGATTCGAGAAAGACTCAAGACGGCTCAGGACAGACAGAAGAGCTATGCCGATAAGTGTCGTAGGATCTTAGAGTTTAAGATTAATGACGAGGTATTTCTTAAAGTTTCTCCTTGGAAAGGAATCATTCGGTTCCAAAGCCGAGGGAAGCTTAATCCACGCTACATAGGTCCCTTCAGAATTCTAGAGAGAATTGGGGCCGTAGCATATCGTCTACAGTTAACTCCTGAGTTAGAGAAGATACATAATGTGTTTCATGTATCCATGCTTAAGAAGTATGTGCATGATCCCTCTCACGTATTGGAAAAGCCGCCTGTAGAGGTACGTGAGGATTTGAACTACGCTGTGCAACCAATCAAGGTCACCGATAGAAAGGTGAAGAAACTGAGGAGCAAAGAAGTCCCAATGGTTAAAGTACTTTGGAAGAGCGATCGGGTCAAAGAAGAGACATGAGAAACAGAGGCTTTGATGAGGAAGCAGTATGCTTTCCTATTCGAGTAGAGCTGTGAATTTCAGGGACGAAATTCCTGTTAAGGGGGGTGAACTTGTGACACCGCACCCGAACGTCCTTGAAAATTCGATTTAAAATTGAAAGTTATGTATTGAATTTCTGGTTTACCAAACAGTTGTAAAACAATTTATGTTTTACGAAGTGCATGATTGAAGATTGTATTGTTCAGACTCGTATATTAGTGTTGGGTTTTTCAAATACTTATTTGGGCCTTATTAATGAACATAAGAGCCCAACATTTCATAAATAATGTTACTTAACCTTTCAAGACATGTTGAGGAAGGTCAGGCGGCCCAGACATTATTTTGGGCTCAACCTGCTAAAAATAGCAAGTATTTGAGAATGACGTCCTAGGCCCACTCGAGGGTGACCCACACGACTATTAGTCCAATAATATGAATGACAAATGTCAAAATAAGTGATAGAATGACTAGGGAAGAATACAAATGCCTATAGCCCCATCTTTGACATTATTGAGCTAAATAATGGGAGTAGGATTTTCCTTCTATAATATCCATCAAGTAAATTATTGAGATGAGCCTACACATATTGGAGATCAATAATGTGATGTAGGAAGTTGACTTGTTCTAAATAAATTAGGATGAGTACAAAAAGACATCTTTTGACAAAAGATAAAACAATAGGACCCATCATCCCATTTTTGGAAGTATTGGTAGATATTTTGGACCCCAAAATGATTGGGATCAATTGGGAACCACTCCACATGATATTAGTACCTAAAAGACAAATACAAATGGGTGATAAGACTTACCTTGTCCGGCCAGCATGGAGAAGAGCTGCACAAGACTTAATAGGAATCAAATTTTGGGGCCACCATCACTATTTTCGCACAAATTGGTGTGTTGTTTGTCTCACTTCATTATGGGAGTTGTACTCAACCAAATAACATGAATGAGGTGCCCTTGGATAGCCTTTGAAGTCTAGTTTCATATTTGAGTGGTATCTGTGCGAGAGGGGAGATTTTATCATACAAAAATCGAGCTGGAGTGAACTGTTGTCTGTAAACTCGAGAAGTGAGAGTGTTGAGGCTGTTTGGTTGTTATCTCGAGTTATACAAATCCAAATAAGGAGTGCAAGATACCAAAAGAAATCTCTCAAGACTAGGAATCCTTTAAGGTCTGTTTTGCATCAATAGGAGTAGTGGAAGGCTTCCAAATCGTCCGAGCAAAACACAACCTCGCAGAAACGGATTTACTCTCCTAAAGTGAGTGTTAACCCCAAAACTTTACTTTTCATTTTCCAAATGATATGAACGATTGGTGGAGCTATTATACACTAATCCAAGTGTATAATAGGTCCTCATAAGGTTATTTTATTGATGTAAAGGTTAGATACTAACCTAGAGCAAATCTTGGAAAACTAGGAAACGAGTTAGCCGGAAAACACCCATTCTAGGGGCTGTTTTCGTATCAACGATTAGGGGTTGAACTAGCACTTGAGGAGGCTGTTTAACACTCATTTCCAAGCAAGGAATCAGTTCTCAAACCTTCTTGTCCAAGGCTTTGGTCGTTGGATCGAGGAGGAAGGTTTTAAAGCTCATTTGAGGTGAGGATTGACATCTAATTGCTTACAACTTGTAGGTTAAGCATGAGATTACCTAAATGCCTAAATCATAATTTTTCATGGATTATGATGATTAAATATTGATGAAATATTGGTATAGTTTCCAAAGAATGCAATTTGAAGTGATTTGAGGTTATATGAATAATAAGAGATTAAATGATGTTATAAATGAACTATTTTGTGAAATAGGCATTTTACTCACGTATGGAATATGAGGATACATAAATGAATATTTATGTATTGATATTGAATACTCAAGTTGCTGCTACATAATATAAATATGTAGGGAATTACAAAATGAGAATACTTGTATGATAACAATAATCTTAATAGTATTGAAATACTAGTTAGTGATTATTGGAAATTGTTGATAGAATTGATCTTAAGGATTGGATTGTATGAAATGCACTTGAATATACTTCAAGTGTATATAATGACTTAGTATGAGACTAAGGTTAAGTTATGGGCAGTCTTTAAGGATGACCCATGGTAGTTTATTGATATGTCAATTCTAGGCATAGGTTTGCTTAAGAATTGGACCTTGGTGAATGGTGATGTGATAGAGCCGAGCTCTAGAATGCATGTTAAGGTGGTAGACTCTTAATCTATGTATGGTATAACTAGAGCCGAGCTCTAGGGCTTGCGTGGTGATGTGATAGAGCCGAGCTCTAGAACGCAAGGCAAGGAAATTGACCCAAGTGACATGAATTGTATGGTGATGTGATAGAGCCGAGCTCTAGAATACAATGTCATGTGTTAGGGTTGGACTCTATGAGTTGTCGTGGCTTATAGTCACGAGGAATGGGAATGGTGATTTCTAAATGGATATGGGCCCACGGGCCGACTACTTGACTTTTATATAAAGTAAGTATATTTTCAAATGGGGTAACTTAGGGTTACAATCATAATGTACTATCACCCTATTTGAGTGTCTTGTGTTTGAAATACTTGTTGTATATCTATTAGATGCCTGCCACACCAGTACTTTATAGCCGTATAGAGTACTGACCCCTTCGGGGGCGTCCCACCACCATGTTAGGTTGAGGCTTGAGCTTGCATCCTGTGCTCATTGATTGAGTGATTCCTCGGAGAGAAGACTTGGTTCGTGCTTCCTCCATTCTATTTGAAACATTAATAAATTTGCTCATGGGTATTTTACTATAGAGCCTGCTCATGAATAGCCCTATGTGGCCCCTTTTTGTTTTAAACAATGTTTCCCGTTGCGTTTTGAATTACTTATTATGTTTGTTTATGGATGTTATGTGTGTGAAAGATATTCAAGACGCCTTGTATAATATGAATATGTTGGACTGCGGTTGACTATTCGTATTGTACGGCGGGTTGTTGACGTGTCCGGGGAGTTCCGGGGCGTGACATTTATACTCACAATCGAGGCGGGGAAAGAGCCACTGGTCCTCGGCATCAGTAACGCAAACGACCGCGGATGGATGACTAAGTTCTTCTTCGTCAAAAAATCTTCCTCGGGTGAAGGAGGGAACTGCCTGACTGATGTGTGGAGGACGGCCGGTATGATTGTTGGTCCCGACTATACAAGGAACATTCTATAGGGGGGGGGGGGGAATAGACTGTTCTGTTTTTTAACCATTTTAAGCTAAGTACCAAGGTTAATAGAATAACCTGTTCTGTTGAAGAACAGATATGCAGCGGATGGTCTTTTGGTAGGGGTTCTGTCCGGTTAGCCTCACAGAGGTGCAAAGGCAATAGGCCTTCTATTAACTCTTAAGACTTGTTCTGTTGAGCACAGAGACCAAGTCTTTGGAGTTAAGTAGTTTGAGATAAATACAAGTATTAAAAGCATTAAGTAAATGACATAGAGGATTTTTATAGTGGTTCAAGGAACAACTCGTTCCTCTAGTCCACTGTTCCACTAAGCTTGTAAAGTCACAATTACAACGCCTTAGCCCTAGCTATTAAGAAACTCTCCACGTCTTCTTCAAGTGTAGATGTCACCTAGGATGCACTCCCTTGCTTCCGTATGACTGGTCCTTACACTGATTTTCCTTGAAGTATCCCCACTTCACTACTCCAGTTACTTTGGACGCCCTTCTTGTGAAAGAAGATTGTTTGAACATAGGTTTTCTCCAACTTGCTTCGTTACAAGAGATATGTAGTTGAAATGCTTGAAGTGTTGAAGAACTGGAGGAACTTTGGTCTATTGTTGGATGAGAAAGATATGAGTGTATATCTTATCCAACGTTCAAGTTTTTCTTGTTGAGGATGATGAGGGTGAGATCTCAAGAAAACTTTTTTGAATTGTTCGTAGAGAGAGCAAAAATTCTTTTTAGTAGTTCTTCATGATGTATCTTATATATTGGAGTTGTCTTCCCGTTGGAGGAAGAAAACAACTTCATTAAATGCGCGTACAGTGGAGTTGACCGCTAGGACCCGCAAAGTTGGCGGTTTGCTATAAGATTCGCCTGGAATCTCGGTCAATCATCAGCTTTAACTCTTCAAAGTATGAAGCTCATTAAATGAGCATTAAATGCTATGTCTTGTATCTTTCCGTTGAGAGAAACTTAGCCGTTGAGGGAATCTTCCGTTAGAATAATCGGCTTTGCAGCTTGAGAATAAGTTAAATGTGAGGGCTTCTGTTGCTGTAGGGAGGTAGTCACAGAGGGCCTCGATCACTTCTGTCCAGTAGAAGTCCAACAGAGGGTCTGAAGGTCTTATGTCCAGTAGAAGTCCAACAGATGGTCAGAAGGTCTTCTGTCCAGTCGATTATACTAATGCTTACATATGAGAATTTCTAATACAATCTTCTAAAAGGGGTTCTGTTAAAAAAACCTAAATAGTCTAGCATCATCAAAATCTAAATACAATTTATTCCTTACAATGATTCATTCTTTAGACAAACCAATTTGATTTCATCATCTTTATTGCAACCCTTACGTTATTTCTGTGTCATATTAGGTTAGAAGAAGACGATTCCTGTTGCGTTTGGGCCTCAGGTGACGGAGATGACAAATCAACTCTTGGAATTAGGCAATGAGGCGCATGTGTATTCCTCGTTGGTTACCGAGCTCACAGGTACGGACGTCGAACCCTCCGTAGTTAGTCCCCTTTGAGTTGGTATACATCGATCTGTAAGGAATTTGTCTAAGATGTCTGGTCTATCCAAAGATGGATCCCCTATTTCAGTTGAAAGATTAGACAAGGATGAGGATGTAGTCACTGTAGATGATGAGACTGGTGTTCAATGCCTCCAAGAGGCCTGCCTGCCAATACCTTGCTAGTCACGCTGCATCAGTTGTTAGTAAATGCATTCCCAATGTTCTCTCCCTTGTTCGTTCTTAGGTCCAATATTCTAATATTTTGTCTTTTTTATCTTCTCCAGCCGCCTCTTCTTCTACAAGCATCCATAGTCCATTGAATCCCTTGGATCCTGCCAACTTGGTTTCAAAGAAAAGGAGAATGACTCCTCCCGTGTCTCCGGCTGTCAAGATTGCTCTCGTGGCTACATGCTCCTTACTTGCGCCCTTGGTTCCACCCGTCTTGAATGATCAAGTCTTGCCCCTTGTGAAGATGAATCTTGAATTTTCCGGTGACTTCTTCCATCTGGAAAATGCTCTGAAGATGAAGAATGAAATCTCCCAGTTGTTGCTACCTTCTGCTAGTAGTGCCTTCTCCGGCTTTTCTCATATTGACATACTTTCGGCTTCTTCTGCTTTTGCTTTCCAGGTTCGAAAAGATACGTTATTTATAACCTTTGTTCGTTGATTTTGCAATAATATTTACTCCGTATCCAGGGTATTCAGGCCAATCTAGCAGCCGCAGATCGCATCCGGGCCTTAGAGAAGTCTGATCTGTAGTTGATTCTCAGGCTAACGAAGCGGCTGTAAAAAGGGAGTTGTCTGTCACTGCTCGGTTGAAATTGGATTTGGAAGGTAAGGTGACGGTCAGGGGTTGAATGAGGAGATTAAAGCTAAAGACGCTAGAATTAAGGCCTTAGAGGACTATGGACAAAAGAAGAGATAAGAAGTCGTTGATGCAGCTGAGTTTTATGCGTGGCAGATGAAGAAAGATATTATGAAGTCATTCCTTGCAGGTGAGACGACCAAGTGGACGCCACAGGAGAATATTGACACCTGGACGATGTACTTTGACGCTATAGAGCCCCCCGTTGGTGATGATGGGTTTGATTTGGGCTCTAACAACAATGAAGCTAATTCGGGTCCTCGCGGCTAGTCTTGATATGTCGTTGCTTTTAACTACTTAAACACTCTCTTTGAACTGCTTATGTTTGCATTTTTTTGCTTAGACCACATCGCCCAGAACTTCACCCGGTGGTTTGGTGGTTCTGATGTTTGACTCTTATGCATGTGTCTAGTGGTTTATCCAGAGCTTATATCTTTTGTTATGTTTGTGGGCATATGCTCTTAGTTGTTATTAGAGAAATTACCCTAAATAGGACTAAAAGTACTTCTATATTCCAAAAATAGGACTGCCATGTTTTTTTCCTCAAAATAGGACTAATTACTGTCATGTTTTGGCAGTACCAGGCTTTAAAGATGACAGTATTTTCCAAATTTGACAGTGATTACTCCTATTTTGGGAATAAAAACATGACAGTCCTATTTTGGAATTTTCAAACTTATTTAGTCCTATTTCGGGAACTTTCCCTTGTTATTAGATATATGCTATTTTTGTTTGCATATAGTATTCATTGTGTGAACATTTGTGCGTGTACAGTTGTAGTTTTGGCCAAAACATGCAAGGTGCATGAGTCTGTCTTTCATATTTTTCTTATGAATGACCCAGGAAAACCATGTTATCCCCTTCTGATGTAATAGGGAGGCGTATGTGAATGTTGTCAAGAAATGTACTTTGTGCATGCAGCAACAAATACCATCTCGCTTGTCTTGTCAGCATTCTGCATTTAATCATGTTTTCAAATTCTTTACGTTGGCTTTTACCCAACACCCTCCGATGCTTAAGTTAGTAAGAAGGAATTGATGAAATCAAACAGTAATCAGACAAGGATCTACTTAAAAGGAGAATAGTTTTTAATGATGTCAAAGTGATTTCAACGCTATCGGGGAAATAAAGGAATGCTGAATCAATTTATTATTTTCAGTAGAGCCTAGTCAATTTTTTGATTAACTTAGAAGGTGAAACACTATATATTGAATGTAAAGTGAAATAAAATCGAGATAAGGTTGACCGATTTATTGTTACTCGACTTGAGGGTGATCAACTTACTCTTATTTTGTGTATAAGAGTTACCTGTACTACCTCATTAAGCCTGATCATTTTGTTGTTGTCGACTGACATCTGAACAAAAACTAAGCTGGACGTTGGCTTGAGGCCAATGACCCTCTGACGGTCAAGTTAGTAATGGGAAATAAATGAAATACATGTTGATTCTACCTGCGTGTAATTAAATTAGAAATGAAAAGGTTTGAAGTGTACCACATTCCATCTTCTTGATACTTAGCTTGTTTACCGTCGATGGACTCTAATCGATATGTCCCCTGCCCGACGACTTCTATGATTTTGTAGGGACCTTCCCAATTAGGACTAAACTTTCCGCTTGCCTCATTGCCAAAAGACTTTCTGAGCACCCGGTCTCCCTTCATGAATACTTTGTCCTGAACATGCTTGTTGTAACTTTTCGCCACTCTTTGTTGATAGCCTGCCATTTGGACTTAAGCTCTTTCTCTTAACTCGTCGATAGTGTCGAGGTCGTGGATTAACTCCACGTTGTTTCTTGCTTCTGTGATAAGCCTGTACCTGGACGACGACTCTTCGACTTCGACTGGAATGACTGCCTCGCACCCATAGACCAAGGAGAAAGGTGTCTATCCGGTAGAGCATTCTTCAATGTCGTCCTGTCTGCCCATAAAATCAGAGGCAACTCGTCGGCCCATCTTCCTTGTGCTTTCTCAAGTCGCTTCTTCAGATTTGAGATGATGATTTTGTTACTCGATTCAGATTTTCATTTGATTGCGGATATCTGGGTGTCGACATCTCCAGCTTGATGTTGTACTTCTCACAAAATCTTCTTGTCTTAGCACTGTTGAATTGTGACCCATTATCACAAATGATTTCTGATGGGATACCAAATCTGCTCAAGATGTTCCTTTTGATGAAAGATATCACCTGGACGTCTCGAATCTCACGGAAAGGCTCTGCTTCAATCCATTTTGAGAAGTAATCCGTCACTGCCAGCATGTAGACCTTTTGTCCAGATGCTTCGGGAAGCTTTCCAACGGTATCCATTCCCCATTTCATGAGCGGCCATGGTGGCAACACGGGGTGAAGTGATTCTGAAGGTTGATGGTGGATCGGTACGTGCTTTTGACAAGGTTGGCAGGCTTGATGTAGGTGACAGCATCATGCCTCATTGCTGGCTAGTAGTAGCCAAATCTCACAGCTTTGTTTGACCGACTTCTGCCAGCTGCATGTTTGCCGCATTCTCCCTCATGAAGGCTTTTGAGCACGCCGACGGCTTTGTGTGGCTTCAAACATCTTTGATATGGTCCTGCTTTTGAATGCTTAAATAATACATCATCATCAATTAGTAAAAATTTTGTTACCTTTGAAATTAGTGCTCTTGCTTCTCTCTTGTCGGACGAGAGAATGTTATGCTTCAGATAGTCTACATATGCTCGCATCCAGTCGTCCACGGTTGATTCAATGATGTTGACGGATTATGGTCTCTCAATGGCTGGTCTCATCAAGTGAATGAAAGGTATGTTGTCGTTGTTCTCTGTCCCCATACATGATCCGATTGCTGCGAGCGCATCTGCTTGGGTGTTTTCTTCTCTTGAGACTTGCTCAAATGTGATGTCGTCAAAGTAAGCGCTCAATTCGTTGACGACTTGAAGGTATGCCGTCATCTTTGGGTCTTTAGCTGCATAAATCTCGTTAGTTTGATTAATAATTAGAAGAGAATCACATTTTACCTCAAGTGTTTTTATGCCCAAGTCTCGATCTAGGCTTAGCCCAACGATCCACGCCTCGTACTCTGCCTCGTTGTTTGTCGCATCGAAGTCACATCGGACATCTTGCACTACTAGAAAAAGGACTTTTAACAATAAAAAATATGGCCGTTATAAGCTTAAAAGTTTGTCGTTAAAAGTTTTAACGACCATTTTTTTTTCGTCGTCAAGTGGTCGTTATAGGCTCCGTCGTTATTGGTTTTAACGACGAAGTTCATCGTTATTAGTTTTAACGACGAAGTTCATCGTTATTGGTTTTAACGACAAAGTTCATCGTTACTAGTTTAACGACGAACTTCGTCGCTATTAGTTTTAACAACGGAGTTCGTTGTTATTAATTAACAACAACACTTGATATCGTCGTTGCATATTAACGACAAGAAACTCACTCGTCGTTACTCAATAACGACAACATAATCCTTCATTGGTATTGAAAAACAAAAATATATTTAATCATTGTTATTTTTTATACATTTTTTAATATCATTAAATATTCAATAATGACCACGTTATTATAACAATAATGAATAATCACAACCTCCATGAAATGCCTCTTTAATTAGGACACATTGAAAAAAAGTACTTGTAATAAAGTACTTAAACTATACATTGAACAACAATATATATACCAATCTTCGAATAAATTTAACAATAAAATACTTCCTAAATATAACAACTATTGTAATTAAGTTGATTCAGTATAATAATCATCCACATAAATAAAATAAAATCTCAATACCTAAATGTAAGAATACATATGTATCAATAACTATATGAAAAATTGAGCACTAAATCAAATAAGCAGTAGCACGATGGCATTGATGTGGTGCAAACTTCCCTTTTCATCTCTATCACCTACAAAAAAAATCATAGAAATCAGATTTTATAACAACAAATGACATATATAAATACTTGAGAGAAATAACTAATATGCTTCATAGATATAATTATACTTCCCAATAGCACGAGTCACAATAAACACTGATAAATTCAAAATAAATAGTGATTAATTCTTACTTTAATAGATTATATAACACATTTTTATTCTACACTTTTACTTCATTTACTACCGTGTTTAGTCATACATACCTTGTGATCCAATTTACGAAGGAATCGCAACATTAAGTTGCTTCACCAACGTCTCTTGAAAGATTCGCATTTGAGACTCTACAGAACCCACACGATCCTTAAGTGTGGTATTTTCATCCTGAATTGTCTCCACACGATCCTTAAGTGTAGCATTTTCATTCTGGATCGTCTCCACACGATTGGCTAGAAATTCATTTTGTTTTTTAGTAGCATTCAGCTCAGCTTGAAGTTCTTCTCTACTAGGTTGCGGCCCGATGATATCCCTACGCTTTATTCCTCCTCCATAACCAACAACCCGATCTTTAGACTTGGACTTGAAAACCTTTTGTGCTACCTATATATAAGAAGAATACAATCTGAAAATCCCACAACATAAATGCTGAATGCGGCACTCAAGAAAACTATTTAAACTATTTACACTGTTCAGCTTGTGAAGTCTATGCTAGGCAGAAAGAGAGAAATGGAACAATATATACCTCTACATTAGAAAGTGAAGGATCATTTTCCATTGTCTCACGAATTTCTTCCTGCAAAATAAAGACCATAAACAAGAGCTACAAGCTGCCTGCAACAATATCAGTTTTCGTGGACTTCATTTCATTCAATATAGAACACGTGCTACCTCACATTTTCCGGCAAGAACACTACTCCCAGCATTTTAATGCATATTAAAAACTCACTATATTGTACTCCATTATAATGTAAACTGAAACCCAATTTACTGCCAGCAACAACACATGCTATAACTCCCATTATTTTGTTTGTGTGTGCAGTGACAGACCTAGGAATCAGAGCACAATGCATCCACACCAAGCATAATAAAATGTTCTTGAAGTTTTATTTGTACACATTCAGAAACTATGTTATTCATTAGTCCTTCAACGTACACAATAAACCCTCTTTAAAAATCAGGGATCCTTTAATGAAAGCAAAACAGAAGTTGAAAAATGATTAAATTAGTATTGTTTGAAACATAACAAAATGATTCAACATAAGAAAATGATATGTGGAAATACTGAGACTTCAAGTAGTTAGTTAAAATTTGATTATTTTCGAAAAGGATCAAAACAAAAATAGTTAGCATTAAGAAATATCTTTAGGTAGATGAAAAACAAGTTTTTTTTGCAAGGAAAAAGGTTTATTTTCATTCATAAGTGAACAAACAATAGAAAAATGGGCATACATGTTTTTGTGTTGTCTCCGCATTCGGAAGCTTATCACCTTTCTTGCGAGTGGTGTAGAAGACATCAAGTAAATTAGGATCATTTCCCTCACGTGCACCCTTCAAAAAACACAAGTATTCATTTTTTCAATTGTAAATAAATGAACTAAATATAACATCTTGTAAAGGCTACAATAATCCACGAAATTCCATACCAAATCATCCCAAATGATTTGCCTAAAAGGCTTGCTCCCTGTGCGGTGCATCAGTTCATTAGCATAGCAACCTCTATTAGAAGAGTTTCTTTTACTTTTTTTCTGAAACAAAATCTCATATTATTGCATATACACGCACTAGAAAGTGAGGATTCAACAATGTATTCAACGAGTTTACCTGAAACTCAGGATTTGAATAGACCTCTCTGATAAGCCACTTCCACTCAGCCTTGTCAAGTCCCGTAGGTGGATTAGCATTGTATGCAGCTTTTAAGGTTATATTCTTGTTGGTCACATTATTCCTTAACAAATCTGATCTCCAATTTCCCCACAACTCTTTCATATGCTTGAAGGTATGCTCTTTGTAAACTTCCATGTTCTCGTTACTAAAGACATCCTGTAGTATCACATTATGGTTAAAGGGTGAAAGGATGAACATGTCTTTAATAAGTAAACTTAGAACTTATAACAGAAAATTAATAAGTTAATAAGACCAAAAAATGAATAAAACACTTTAAAACAATAATAAATCAGGATTAAAAAGGAGACATAGAGCTATCACAACTACATAGTTACCGTGACTGCACTCCACATGTGTTCCTTTTCTCTTTCTCCGATGTCATTCCATTTGTGCACTCTCAATGGGCACATATTTGTATCTCGCACGATAATCCCCAAATGTCTCGCCCATACGTTGTGATTCTTCCCAACCGCTCGATTATTATAAAAACTGATTTCAAGTTTTTGACCAGGTTTAAGCTTTGCTACTTCTTTACATTTGTTTCTTCCTCTCCTCTTATCAATCCCGGATTTCTTCTTAGTCGTAATAGATCCTTGACCTTCAACCATGAAAACACATGGTTCAAAGTTTTACATTATTGTAATAACCAATTTCACAAAACAACTAAGGAAGTTTTAGGTTTGAATTTTACCTATCAAACAATAACTTATTACCAGTGTAACACCCCACCCGGCCCGACCCCGCCGACCCGAGTGGCGCGTCACTTAGCGGAAAATCAGAACGGATTTAATCAAAAATACTTTTCGTGGTTCAAGAAATAGTGCCTTTTTTTTTTACTTTAAACACAAAACATTTAATAAGAGATTTTATCACTTAAAATAAAGTGTATTAATTCCAAAACGACTTCATTACTAAATACCAGAAAATGTCAAACTCACATGGAGTAGAATGTTATTAAAACAGACATAACTTAAACATCATAAAACACTTCAAGGAGTGCAGCGGAAGTTCTTAAAATCACATATGACATATTAAAGTCCTTTATTAAAAAACACCAAATACATAGCATGCAAATGCGTCCTACGCCTCTTTCCATCCCTGTGCTCCCAGCGGGTTCCGTGCTCAACCTACGGGTAGGAAAACACACAACTACCCGCTCAGCAATGTGCTGAGTGGTACGGTAATAACATAACAATAATATTAACATATCAAAGAACATATTAACTTATCATAATTCACATCTGATCAGACAAACATATAACATACCTGGGTGAACCGAGCAGCTATTATAAAAATACAGATATTTACATACAGAATAGAATCATACTCAGATATCATAACTGTCAAGTAATTTTATTCTGAGATAATTATTATATTCTTCTTGTGTACAGAACAGGAGCATATTCAGATACCATAATGATCAGATAATTCTTATTTTGAAATTTATCATTGAAAGATACATATTCATTTAGCCTTAAACTCTGGAATCTGGACCTAGACCGAGGAATACTAACGGTAAGGAGTACGGTCGATCGAAGTCCGTACCCACATTACCCAGAAGGAATATGGAAACGTAATCGCCGGAGCTACACGTACCAATCCCTGACAGAAGCTAGCTGAACAGAAAGGACGAGATCACCGAAGAGACCCGAACCTTAACAGGAGAGTAATAGTGCTCTAAAAATATTTCAGGAGTGTACGAAGTACACTAAACAGAACAGGAGTGTACGTAGTACACTAAACAGGAGAGCACTATTTCCTCTAAACAAAATTTCAGGAGTGTACATAGTACACTAAACAGAACAGGAGTATCCTAGTCAGAGTACCATTTCAAGAGCAAGGCTTTTCCCAAAACATTGATCTTTCGGTTTATTTATAAGGATAATATCTCATATGGTAGTTATAAAATTATAATCCCCATACCAATAATATTAAGTTGCGACCAGCCAAAATAATAATCTAAGTTCACGAAAGTTTAACCATGTCACGTGTCTATATTTATAACTACGTAGTTTTATATAGACTAGCATAAAATAACAACTAATTAACTTATATAAACACGCCAGACATGTATACTAAAATTTCAATTGATTATGCTCTCTTTAACATGCGTATACATATACTCCTATTATATTAATTTAATGCATGCAGGTTAGGAGTATTCAGTCCACATGCACTTTTACGTAAATACTCGTATCAATTAAGTGATTAACTAAGTTAGTGCATGCCTCTTATAGTAATATTATATATTTAATAAAAATGGTATCCACACGTTTAAATTATAAACACACACGTATATATCAAACACGTATATAAATAATTCTAGTAATATACGTGTTTACCTTATTCAATTCTTTCAATGCATGCATGTGTCCATACCTAATTAACTTTCATAGATAACAGTAATATATATATATATATATATATATATATATATATATATAATAACATACATATACTAATTATCAAAACTTCCATATACGGAGTATGAAAGTAACATGTGTATGCTCAACAATAAATACGTATACTAAATTAATAACATGTATGTGTATACGTGTGAGATCCATTTCGTACCCTTCAGAGTCCCGTAATTTCTTAATTTCTTCATTCGTGTGTATATAGATTTATAGAACAAATAGATACTTTTAATTAATACAAGTAGTACGTGCATGCTTCTAGTAGTTTGGTATATACACGTGCAGTCATTTATCCTACTTAGCCAGGTCAAAATTTTAAGGATCATTTATCACTTAATAATATCCAAAATTTATTCTTGAATTTGACTAATTGGTCCATATATCAAATTAATTCTCAAATGATTAACAATTAAACCATAACACTAAATAACACATACTACTACGTGACGTGTTATTTATCATAAATTAGTAACAAGTCATTAAGTAATACTTGCATGCATCTCTGACCTATTATAACCTATATTCCATATAGTTATGTATCAAAAACCGTGCTTATAGGTCTAACCGTTAGTTTTAACGTATTTTTCTTCTTAATTTCACAACTGTACTTATTTCTAGATGACTTCCATATTGCAAAAAGAAAAAGTAATTACTATCATATACAATTATGCACTCGTAATCAATAATTCTAAAAAAAACACATTCTGAGAACATACAAAGAACTAAGGCTATATAATGTTCATTATCCCCATAACGCAACGGGAAACGGGGACGGAAATAAACACAATAATCTAAATGGCCGGGATGGAAACGTACTGACCTTATTGAAAAGAATGATAAGGAAATTAACTAGGCAGGGAACTCCTCCTTACGGCACTGATTCATCGTCCTGCACATCTCCTAGTTTCTTCTTTTAAATTTATTTATGTATATTTTTGCTCAGCCACTTTGGTAAATCAGTTCAAAGGTATTTGGTTGTGAGACTGCTATTAAATATTTACCAAGTCTTCTCTATTATGGCCGTATTATAAAGGTGAAGCCAAATTGGGTTATCAGCACTCATATGCATGGTAGTAACACGTATAACATCAGGTATTTCGAGGCTTCCAAGTGGGAGGTCTCATGCAGGTTAGGACAACTTAGTCATACTTATTCTAGTGCATGGACTTCCAAGTGGGATATATAATGCACTCAAGGGCAATTCCTTTTGGTACGTAGCTTAAATTTGAAGCCAAGAAAAATATGTGAATGTAAGCATTGTTATTGGATCAGTTATTATTGTAACGAACTAACGTACTATTCCCATAAATAAATTCTTGAGTTTACAAAGACCCACTACATGTTTATCAACATTTTGTTTCGAATGTCATTAGAGTTTATTTTTTAAAACGGTTGGTTCCGTATATACTAATTATTGTAAATTTTATTCTATTTTATTAACCATATTTATTGTCTATTAAGTAATTGTATATTTGACGGTTAGGATTAACAAGAATGAATATTATTTCAAAATTTTGCTTTACCGGCTAGACCGGTTTTTGGGGTGTTACAACCAGTACACAAGTTATTGCTATTTCTTAAGTTCTAGAAACCATGAGTTAGCAAATTTTGAAATAAAGTGTATTTTCATTCGAGAAATGTGATATAGAAAGTCTGGGGACTTATTTTGGAAATTCACTTGCAAAGGCAAGCCATATAGAAAAATATATGCGTTGCAAAGGGTGGCACATGTTACCATTTAGATCTTGTAAAACTGTTTGTCCTTCCTCCACTTCAGTGTCACCACCATCATTACTTTCTGTCGTACTCGTACTTTCTATCTGAGTTTGCTTTTTTTTAATACAAGAGTCACCGCCTTCAACCAAGACACAATATGATTAAAGTAGTAAACAATAAGTGATAAACGAGATATATCAAGACATTTATAATTTATAATATGTTAAACCATTACCAACTGGATCTTGGGTAAATGTCGGATCTACCTCCATTTCATTATCATCATCCCAAATGCTTTTGCCTCTCTCTTTTTCTCTCCCACTGCTCTTCTTAGAAGTAAATGAGCTACCACCTTCAATATTTAAAGTGTTAAATATTACAAGTACAAACAACTTCAAATAAAACTAATTATGAATGTCTTACCATTGCTTTCTCTATGAACTCCCTGATAAAACTCTATTTCATTCTCACTGTCATCATCAACAATGGTTCTTTTTCTCCTTTTTTCAAATGAGGTATTCTTATTATAAGTAAAAGAGTGACCTATTTGAACCAACAAAAATAGAATTAAATTAATGAAAACACAATATAAAAAAACTAAAATAAATTATTTCATGCCAAACCTTTATCATTTGAATGTCCTGCATCCTCATTATGCAAATTTACTTCATTGCCACAAACATCATCAAATATGTTATCACCCCCATTAAGAATATTTGTCCCTCTTGTACTCTTAGTCTGAACTTTCTTGTTTGCAATCCAAGAGCCACTGGCTTCCACTAAAATCAAAGTAGCCATAAATCATTTTCCCATTTAGGTCTAGTAAAGATGTTGATAGTGAGTGATGCATGAATGTTGAGTCTTGCATTTATTTCTATTACACTTCCTTTACTGACATGCATGGTTCATTTTCTTGTTTAATAAAAGAGTGCCTCAAATAGCCTTAAGCATCATGTTGGGATTCTTATTATTGTAAAAGCAATCCAAAAAGAAGAAATAATTGTTGAAAGTTAGATCAAGTGACTGATTTTTTTAGCAGGGTAGTTCTTATAATAGGCAGTCAAAACGGAAGAATTAAGTGCTAGAAGTCTACATGCATTGAGATACATGACATGCCAGAGTTCAGTGAAATTTATCATATGAAGTTTCCTTTTACTTAATAAGTACTATTAGATTAATGAAATTCTTTTTTTTTTGCTTACTTTTGATACACGATATGTCAAAGAACAATGAAATTCTTCTTTTTTTTGCAGCGACTCTTTTATCTTAACCTTATTATTTTACTATTTTACCAATCTATTGTACACTACTGATCAACAAAACATTACCAATTGGATCTTGGGTAGAAGACAGATTGACTTCCAATTGACTAACATCGCCAAAGATGCTTCTTCGCCTCTTCTTTTCAATCACAACATTTTTTTTTGAATTACCAAAGTCACCCCCTTCCATAATGAGAACATTTGGATTAAGACTGGAATAATAGAAGTAACGTCGCAGCAAAGAAAACAACTAATAAATGCTTTAGTATGAACATTTTCAGCTTAGGATGTTTTTACTTGGACTGTAATTCGCTTGTCTGGTCTGGTCTGAACTGGTCTGGTTTCTTTGTATTTTTATAACTATCCAAGTCTGGTCAGGTCTGATCTGGTCTGGTCTGATCTGGGACAAATTACAGTCCAAATAAAAACATCCATAATGTATCAATCGAAAAATGAAAAAACTGCAAATAAACCAAATGTTGACAACATACCTTTATTGTTTCTTTCACTTACAAGTTTCTGATATAACCCTACTTTATTCTCATTAACATCATCAATAATGTTTCTTCCTCTTTCTTTTTCAAATGCAATATTTAGCTCAGAAGTAAAAGAACCATGTCCTAAAACCATAAAAGTTTTGGACTAAAATATTAGATTATAAAGCAAAATATAAAATAAATAAAAACATTGTTGAAATTCCATACCTTTATCATTTGAATCTACTAGAACCTTCGAATGTAGTTCCACTTTAGCGCCATTAACATCGCCAAAAATGTCATCACCCTCCTCATGAATTGACTTATTAGGGGATAAATCCCAATTTTTCATGTTGGAATTTATTTGAGGGAGAATATGTAATGGATCGAAGGGAGCTCCGGTAGGATAATTTTTGGCAGAAAGACCTTTGGAATAACTTTTTGAACCACATGTCGCCTTTGAAAGATCACTACTAATCCCCATTAATGACTTGGATCCAATGACACTTTTAGAAGAAAATAAATCACATACCTTTTTGTTGCATCCCTTTGCCAACACTTGAGGTGGCACATAAGACCTTTTAGATCTTGGCATAGAACTCTTAGATATATTATCATTAGGACGAAACATTTCCCTGGATATTAGTAAAATATTTGTTATCTTTGAATCCAAGGAAGGATATACTAATTCATTCCATTAAAATATAGCACACCAACCCAATAGGCGTGGCAAATAAAAGTAGTTATGTTACTGGTAAAGGATTTAACTATAAATAAAACTAGTTACTAATGCAACACAGGACTTCACTTATTTTTCAGACCATATGATGCATTCAATTTAAACACACTGTGATATATATAAAGTATAAAACATTCTTATTAAAACACACTGATATATATATAAAGTACAAATGAAACTTTCACTCATCTAAAATATTCAAATTTAAAATTACGGAATAAAAAACAAACTACAATATGGAGCGTTTTTAAAAGCAACTACTAAGAAATAAACTATTCCTCCCTTCTTCTTTTGTGGCATCTTTTTTCAGTATTCCTTCTCTTTGAAATATCTTCCAAAACTTCTGGATCAATACCAGCTCTACTTTTACATACTTCAGCACTTGCGGTTGTTGATGATGAGGCAACATAAGTAGTTGGGAACAATTCACTACATTGGTATGCATCACCTGTGTTGCTTCCACCATTGTCATCATCTTCCATGTCACAAAATATGCGGGGTCGATTTTTTGCCACAAGCTGCCATCCTTTGTTAACGTTGTCAGTGACATAAAACACTTGTCTTGCTTGACTAGCCAAGATAAATGGTTCATTTGTTTTCAATTGCTTATTGGGATTAACACTTACAAAGTCATACTCATCTGTTTTAATACCTCTAACCTTATCATGCACATCCCACCATTTGCAACGGAATAGCACTACACGGTTCCCTCCAAGATATTGCAACTCTACTATTTCAATGACTACTCCGTAATAGTCAATATTTTCATCTCCATTCCCTGAATTTCCCATCACAACTACTCCACTATTTTGTGTCCTCAGAGTCCTCTCACGACTTTGTATGTGAAACCTATACTCATTAACAATATAACCACTAAAAGATGTCACATATTGTGTTGGTCCACGAGATAGTGCTAGCAAATTGCTCATATCCTTGGTCTTAGTACTTTCACACAACTGTGTAACCTAGCAAGGAGGAGGTTAACCAAATAAGAATGTAATAATTTAAAATTTTTACTGTTCTAGTTATTTAATAAAGCTGCTACTTACCGCATTCTTAAACCAATTCTTAAAACTTTCCCACCAATCATTTTCAGAAATTTCAGGACCACTTGAACCAAGAGACTTTGAATATTCTCTACAAAATATTACAGAACCAATTAAATTGTGTGACTTGTAATAATGAAAAAGAAAATTGTGAACTCTTGATTTCTTACTCGACAAAAGGTTGAACCTCATCACAATTCTTCAAAATATAAATGTGTGCTTGATCCATCTCACATTTTTCAAGAGATATAATAGTAGGAGATCCCAAACCCCGACCAGAATGACTAAAAATGGACAAGGAGTTATTGCAACCATATGCATTTTCATAATTTCGATCAAGACGATTGAATCTTGTCTCCATACTATGCATATACCTTGAGCACATAGTCATGCATTCCTCTGCCAAATAACCCTCTGCAATGGAAGCCTCTGGATGCGCCCTATTTCTTATATATGATTTAAGATTGTACATATATTGCTCGATAGAATACATCCATCTGAATAAGACTGGTCCTCCAATTTTAGCTTCATTGATTAAATGAATTGGTAAATGTATCATAACATCAAAGAAGGATGGAGGGAAAATCTTCTCTAATTTGCAGAGAGTAATTGGAATTTGTGACTCTAGATGCTCCAAATCAGCAACATTAAGTACTTTTGCACACAACATACTGAAGAACATTGATAGCTCAATGAGTGATTCACGTACAAGTGGGGTGAGAAGACCACGTATTGCAAAAGGAATAAGATGTTCAAGTAGTACATGGCAATCATGGCTCTTCAAACCCGATATTTTTGCATCTTTGGTGTTCACACAATAAGAGATGTTGGAGGAAAAACCATCAGGAACTTTTAAATTTTTTAAAAACTCACAAAAAGCTCGTTTCTCAGAGGGGGACAAAGTATATGGAGCTGGAGGTATCTTGAACTTGTCTCCATCTTTGATGAGGTGTAATGTAGATCTCAATCCCATAGCTTCCAAATCAAGGCGTGACTTGAAAGTGTCTTTGGTCTTTCCTTTGATGTTCATAATAGTCCCAAGAACACTATCACATATATTCTTCTCAATATGCATCACGTCTAAGTTGTGTCGTAATAGAAGTGTCTTCCAATATGGGAGCTTAAAAAAAATACTTTTTTTATTCCAATTGTCCCCTCTAGCCTCGTGAGATATTTTTGTTTTCACGCTAGGTTCTTTAGACAATATGATGTTCTCAAGATCTTTCAGCTGGAAAAGTATATCATTAATTGAACAAGGATGTGCAGGTACACTCCGCTCAACTTGTCCATCAAATGAATCTTTTTCCTTCCTCCATCTATGGTTTTTTGGAAGATAACGTCGATGGCCCATGAAACATTCTTTGCCACCTTTAGGTAACCTCTTTGAGCGTGTATCCTTAAGACAACACGGGCATGCTAATTTTCCCTTTGTGCTCCATCCAGATAACATTCCATAAGCTGGAAAGTCATTGATGGTCCAAATTAAAGCCGCACGCATCTGAAAATGGGTTTTTGTTGATGCGTCAAAGGTTCGGACACCAGTTTCCCAAAGATCTTTTAATTCTTCGATTAGAGGTTGCAAGTATATGTCAATAGCATCACCGGGACCACTCGGGCCAGGAATAATCATTGATAAAATCTTATTAGACTGCTTCATACAAAGGTGAGGAGGCAGGTTATATGGAATAAGCATCACAGGCCAAATGCTGTACGATGTTTTTGAATTTGCAAAGGGCTGGAAACCATCACTTGCAAGTCCAAGCCTCACATTTTGAGGATCTGATGCAAACTCGGGGTGATGTTTGTCAAATGATTCCTAACCAGATCCATCAACTGGATGTCTCATTGTACCATCTCTCTTCTTTTTATTGTGATGCCACTTCATCAAAGGAGCAGTTTTCGAACACATAAATAATCTTTGCAACCTTGGTTTTAATGGGAAGTACCTTAGTGTCTTCAAAGGTACTTTTTTACCATTTTTTTATGCTTTTGCTCCCCATTATGCTTATCAATTTTCCATCTTGATGCGCCACATGTGTTGCAAGTATCCAACTCTTCATCCCCCCTCCAAAATAACATGCAGTCATTGACACATGCATCAATTTTTTGATAAGATAGCCCGAGGTCTTTCATGATCTTCTTTGACTCATAATAGGAATCAGGCAACTTTGATCCATCAGGCAAAAGCTCGTTCTTCAAAAACTCTAGGAGCATGGTAAATGATTCATTGCTCCAACGACCAATAGTCTTGATATGAAGGAGTTTTAAAAGTGCAGACATTTTTGAACTCTTGCAACCTTCATAAACAGGATCTTGTGAATCCCTTAAGAGATTGTAGAATCTCTTTGCATCATCATTTGGCTCTTCAATAGTATTTTCATCCAAGGGTGAATCACCATCATAACACTCTGGATATAGATCTCTTAAAATAAAAGGAATTTCATCCTCATCTTCATCTTCATTCCCTTCTAAAGTATCAACACTTTCTGACACAGATTGTGACTCATCCAATCTCTCCCCATGGTGATACCAGAAGGTATACCTCTTGATTATTCCATAAACTAACAAATGTTCTCGCAATTTCTCGCGATCACCAAATTCAGCATTTACACATTTGCAACACGGGCAACGAACCGCCTTAGTTCCCAACTTTTGAAAAGCATAGTCTAAAAAGCTATTAACTCCTACTTCGTAAGATTTATCATTAACGTAATCTTCAATGTTCATCCAGTCCTTGTTGGGAGTCATTGTGTTTAATGTAGAGGTATGATAAGTTGACAGTGACCTAAAACATTTGGAAAAGAAAAGACATGTATATTTGGTGCAATAAAATAACTTAGCATGAATAAGCCATGAAAATCAACCAAGTGAATAAGCCAAGAAAATCAACAAAATAAATAATCCAAGTGAATAAACCAATCGAATCACCTAACCATATCAACCAAGCAAATAAGCAAACTTACTTTTTAAAGCGAAAAGAGCACCAAAGTTATGTGGTGTGGCTTTGCTTAAAAGCGAAAGCGCAAAGTGAAGCTTAACTTTCTCCCAAAAAGCGATGCTTATAAAAACATATAATATTAAAATATATAATGCAAAATCAGGCCAAAAACACATAACTAGTCATGCTCCCATGCAGATCCTAACTCTTGGATTGTGTTCGACATATTTCATTTACATACATATGTTAGATCAACTTATAATCTAGCAAGTGTGGGAATATTTTATATTGATTGCAGCTAGTAGCCTAGCTATATACAATCATGAGCTACACTTTTAGTTAATTTAATAGTATTCCTTAAATTAGAGTAATAACAAAATACTTTCTTGTAATAATGTTAACTTTTTACTGATAACAAAATTAGTGTAAAATTGTAGCTAGTAGCCTAGAAATTAGAGAAATTTCTAGTAGTTATGAAATTGAGTATTTTCCAATTTTGGACCCCCGACTTAAGTGGCCGGGATAATTTTAGTCTCCGTCTTTTGTTTTTCCCGGATTTGGTGCACAACTATGAATTATTTGACACTTTTGATCCTCCTATAGATTTTTCCGGCCAAAAACACACATGTGCGTGTAGTGCGTGGCAGGAGGATGAATTGCAATTGAGATTACAGGAGATTGGGTGAACATACACATACATATTCATATATCAATCTGTTCTTGGTGAGATTGTGATTCAACTATGCCGTCAATTGTTAAAATCATGCTACTCAACCAGACCACTAGCTTCTATTGTCATAAATAAATGTAATGGAATGGCTCCATCTTCTACACAACGAAAGAAAGGTGTATTCTCTTACAGCATGACACGCACATCTCCGATCATGGTTTTAAAAGGCGTTTCGCACCTACGCCTCTGAGGCGCAAAGGCGCTAAAGCGTTAACAAACCGCATGTAAGGCTTAAGCCTTACCTTCCACTAACAAGGCTTACGCCTTTTTTTTACTGAGGCGGTGATGCGTGTCAGTGCGCAAGGCGTGATTGAGGCGTATGCATTTAATTAAATGCAATATGGGCTTTTCTTTTTTTAAATTACTGGGGGCCTCAATTTTAAAAAATAAAAAAGAACTGCTGTACGTTTATCTCTTAGTCGGCACAAGACAGCCCTAGTCCCACTACTACGAAGAAACGACTTGAAGAGCTGTCTCAGTCGAAGCCTCAAAACTGAGTACATATTGCTTCCGTTCTAGGTGTTATGAAGTCAATAGAGTAAATTAAGTAAGCAGAGTAAAATCCCACCGCCCACTTTTATATAATATCCCACCGCAGGTCTGAAGTTTGTTTCTTATTGTATTTATATTGTTTAAGTTTATCTATTTAACTTCTCGATTATTTAAAAGTTCAGTTTTTATGGTATCTATCTACTACGTTTTTAATGCCTTTTCAGCTAGCAAACTATAAAATATAGCCCCAGCACCACTTTTTAGTTGTTTTTCTATAAGATATAGTGGTTTCCATTCAATATTATTACTGTATTATTATGGTTTAAACTTTAAAGTGATCATAAATACTACAGAGTATCATTTAGCTTACTCCGATGTGCATTGTTGGCCGGAAAAATCTACCAGAGGATCAAAAGTGTCAAATAATCCATAGTTGTGCACCAAATATGGGAAAAACAAAAGACGGGGACTAAAATTTTCCCGACCATTAAAGTCGGGGAACCAAAAGTGGAAAATATTCTTATGAAATTAGAATTATATTGGGTGAAATAGACAAAAGGAGAGTACTTTATATTATAACATAATACATGGGACTTTATATCCCAAAAATAAGTGTAAGCATAAAATAAATGTAAAATAAGTTAACATAAAATTTGAGTCTGCTGCAAAATTTTAAAACACGTCTAAGTAAAATTCTGAAATATTTGGACCAAATAAAGTTCACATAAGTCTAACCATGCCATCATGGACCGATGTTTTTAAGGAAATTCATGGACTAAACAATTGGGTATACCAATCACTCTGTATGTTCATACGAATAAAAGAATAAAATAGACTAGTATTTGATTATTGGATAAAATTAGACAAAACAAGTTTGACATAAATCAGATTAGCCTGGAAGGCTGGAACTTTAAGTTCCAAGAAGTTTGAACCACAAATAAGACAGTGGCCTCATATACAAAACAAAGTCACAAAGTCACAGTAAAAAACCCAAAGACCATGTGTAGCAGACGAAACTTTTTAATCGGAAGGGAAAGAACTCAGATTACCTGGGATGGGAGAAGTCAATCGAAAATGGTATCAGATGGAGAGAGCGGAATTATATGGCCAAGAGATGTGCTGCTCTATCTAGAAGAGTCAATCGATGACCCTGAATGCTCTGTAGAAATCCCTAATGAAATAATATTTTATCAGTCAAAAATTAAACCTAATGAAACCTAATGAAAACATCAAATCCTGTATTGAAATTTGGCAGCTACCCCCATTCATGTGATGAACCAGATCCCCAGTAGAATAGAAGATTAGAATGAAGATTAAACTTACCAGGAAATCAGCGACAAGCTTAGAATCCTCAGCAGATCAGCGAGGTGATAGGGCGAGGCGATAGGGCAGATCGCGGCTACTATACGGAGACGATTCTCTAGACGCCAAGATAGGTTAGAAACAGGTAGAAGATGAAGGACGCTGGGAAAATAATTTAGGAGGCTAAGAGATTAGGTTTTTTTGCCCATCTAACCGGCAAAAAGGTAGTAAATTTTCGATGGACTATGGGTTTATGGAGCGAAAATATTTGGGGTTCTGAAATGTTGGCGCCATACGTACGATACGTAATACGTACGATAATAAAAATCTTAAACGTATTTATTTTTTATTTTCTATTTTTTTAGAAAAATAAAGTAAAAAGTTGATTAGTAATAACGATGACTACATAACAATTAATAACGACGACTTTCATAAATTGTCGTTAAATACTAAATTTAATAATGACGAACTAACTAATCATTGCTAAAAAGTACTTTTAACGACCATTTGTGGGAGTCGTCGTTATAGATTGGTCGTTAAAAGTCGTTTTTTTTTGTAGTGTTGTAGTATGGTGCCCCCTTGTGGCGACTTCAGTAGCACTCCAAGTCCTGCTCCGTGCATGTTTGAGGCTCCATCATTATGCATTGACCTCAAGTCGGAGGACTATTACACTACTCTATACGCCGATAATCCCATAGACACATGAATAGAACTTATCAAATGATTTCTCGGTGGGTATGCCAATATTCTCTAAAATATCTATGCGACCATCATGAATTACAAGAACTCATAGTTGTGAGATCAACTATACTTTTTAATAGTATGATGCAGTTCGCATACCAATCTTATCGCATATCATCAATATCCCTTTCTTGATGACCATTGATTGGGCTATTTTAGGACCTTATGTTATATCCTACGTAGCACCGATACCGGTACGCGGAAACGCGGAAACGGGTACGAGGATACGTCAAAACCAAAAAAAGTAAGATACGGATACGGGGCCATATTTATAAATATTAAAAGTTATGGGGGTGTATTTACAAATATTAAAAGTTATAGGGGTCGATTTATAAATATTTAAAATAGTTTTTTTGAATATATATATATATATATATATATATATATATATATATATATATATATATATAATATCCGATGATGTCTACCCATTCATTGCATTGAAACATTTTCCTTTTTCAAGATACTTGGTAATAAATTCATAATATTTCTCATATACATTAGTGTATCTCGAAATATAAATGTAGTCAATAAGTCATTAATTTAAAATGTGAAACAAGTCAAACAACCACAATCTTGAAATTAAAAGTGCAAGTACCCACTTCAGAGTATGAGTTAATGACTTAATTCGGATATAGCCATATAGGCCCATTATTTGATTACCAAGTAAAATGTAGTTTTAGATTTTCATTTTTTTTAGAATTTTATTAAAGTAAATTTTGGGTTTTTTTTAAAGTTGGTACGGGTATCCGTCAGGATACGAGTATCGGAAACTTTCAAAAAATTACAAAAAAAAAATGGAAACTTTTAAAAATTGCAGATACGGCCCGGGAACGTACGGTACGGGTATCCTAGAGTATCTGATACGGGAACGTATCCGATACACCGATACGCTACCCTAGGGAAGTATCCGTGCTTCATAGGTTATATCATATAAGCTCTCAATTACTCATTGACAACATAAATCTAAGGGAACACAATTATGAATAAGACATTGACAATCTAAATGCTTAATCATCAATGTGTAATGTCGTTTATATCACATATGTAGAACTGAATATGATCAGAAAGCACTAATTCTACAATCCACTCTTTTTGCCTCATGAGTTATTTTTTATTTTCATCATCTTCCTCTGGGGCGTCTGTATTAGGAAACTATTGTATGAACTCATTCAAATTTGAAAACATGTTCAATGCCACATTAGTTGTCATCTTTCAAAGACATCAAAAACGGAGAGAACAAGAAGTGAGCACCTAAGCTAGCTTGGCAAATTCAGGGACCATTTCGGCAGAACCGCAAAAGAATGTAGAACAACTCCACAAGGGAAGGGACCTACAGATCTACGGATATTGAGAAGATCCTCATAAGCAGAAACATAATGTAATCCCCGATTCATCGATTACAACAATAAAATGAAGGTTATCAAGGAAAGTGAAGCCAAAGACAGTCAACTAACCCTCAAGAATTGTGTTAAGATGTATAAAGAAGAGATATGAAGAAAAGCCACACTATGTGATAGATATATATAATACATTGAAATACTATATTGAACTACATTGTTGTTGTGATACTTTTATACGTAGTATATTGTTTTTTTGTTGTTTTTTGTTGTATTGAATGTGTTGCTTTTTAACTTATCTTGAGGCCAGGTTTTATGCCCTCCTCTTTTTCCTTGTGATTGAATAAAAGGTCGGTTTAAAAAAAATGTGTTGCTTTTTATTGCATTCTGTTGTTTTTTGTTGCATCATGTTGCTATTTGTTGCAATGTGTTATTTATTTTTGTTTTGTTGTTGAATTGTTCTTGTTTTTTTGTATATTTAGGTTTTTAATTATCTTTGATGCACTTCTCTGAAGTAAAAAATCATATATACACTCATATTTATTCAGGTAAAATGATAAATTTGAATTTCTATATATGAGACTCTTAATACTTAAAATATTTGTGATTTTTAGCTACCTGGTAAAACTGAGCAATAGGCCGAATAAATGAGACTCTTAATAGTTAAAATATAATTGTTTATTTGTGTTCAGCGGTTTTCAATTCTAACAAAGTAAACAAGAATTTATTCGTAGATGAACTAAATTTCATGTATCTGGTAATTTTATATGTTTCTCCTTTTAAAAAAGGAAGGGAAAAGGGCAAAAGGCTAGCTTTGGTTTTCAAAGAAAGGAGGAAAAAGCTATGTTTAAAAAACCGACCCGACCCGGCCGGGTTGACCCGGACAAAAATCCGGTTCGGTTTCTTCAAAACCCGAAAATGGTCAAAAACCGGAAAAACCCGGCTGACCCGAAAAAATCCGATCCAGACCCGACCCAAGAAACCCGAAAAACCCGGGAAAACCCGGTTTTCGATCTTTTCCAATAAAAAAAAGTAATTTATTTTTTAATTTTAATGCATTTTTTAAACCAATAAAATTGCAATTTCAATTCCCTAAAAAGAAAAACTATGTAATATATTTATATATTTATTTAAGAATGAAAATCATGCCAAATTATAATATAAATGTACAATACAAATACAAATATATAATGAGAGTGTATATAATTATATGTTTATTATTATTATATAGATAGACGTATAATCGTTGACCGGTTTTTCGGCTTTGACCGGGTTGACCCTCCGAGTCCGGGTTGACCCGTGACCCAGTCACATGACCGGGTCGCTCACCGGTTCGGTTTTTACAACATAGGGAAAAGGGGTGGCATGAATAAGAATGGAAAACATACATAAAGCCATAAATTGAAAATTAGTTCGATCAATAGCCATTGATATACTTCGTATAATCTACGGAGTATATTTTGAGTCAATATTCAACTATATATATACTCCCTCCGTCCCGTTGGGATGTTCCCGATTTGACCTACACACATATTAAGGAAATAAACTTACCAGAGATAAATTTTACTGTTTTGACACTGTTTGACACTGTTTTGCACAGTTTGGCACTGTTTTGATGTAGGATAACTTTACATTTAGGGAAAGGAGAACTTCTTTTTGGACTGCTAAAAAGGGAAAACGGGAACATCTCAACGGGACGGAGAGAGTATATTCTAGTAATCTAGCTCATCTAATTGTTCTTTTGGTTTTTTTAATACGAAAGGTGGATTTGGCGTCTTGGTTGGACAATTTATAAGTAGGTCCATGAGTTAACACCTAGATAACATTCAACCTTAAGATTCGAGTCTAATCGTGGGTAAAGAGCATGAATAGTAGTATAACTGTATAACAATTGATTGCCGTTAAAGAACAAAATATTGATGCATTCTAGGGTGCTGTATATTAAATAATTCCATTATTACTATATTCATCCAAAGAGTTATTGTCATTTTCTATTCTCCACGACTATTATGTTTTGACATTTTTTATTCTTGACTTTTAATTTTTCTTCTCGACTAGTGTGTCAGGGACATTTTTAGTCATTGATTTCATCATTTCAAAGTTTCTCACATTTAATCTCATCCGTATTATCAAATTGACAATTTTAATCCTTCCGCTATGATTTTGACACATTAAAAGGTGAGCTAAAAATGTCATTATTACAATAGTTGAAGGATCAAAAGTGTCACTTTTATGAAAGTCGGAGGACTAAATATGGAAATTTTTAAATACGGGTACCAAAAGTGTCTCTTAAATTAGCACAATTGTCAAGGACTAAAAGTGGAAACAATCAAAGTCGAGTAGGTGTGGGCGCGGTTTATGTCGGTCTGGTAATTAATTAGCAATACCCGTAATGTACCACCCGTTACGTTTCTAACGGTCCGGTCCGGTTTGGTTCTAAGGATAGAATCACTTGGTACCATGCCGTTTCAGAATGGTACAAAACGTTAGGGTACAATGTCAAACATATGCTAACAAATTTGGACAAATTTTGCAATTATTAGATATCATCACACTGACCAACTCACATTAAATGTTAATAAAAATTCAAGAAATTGCATACTAAATACTAGGAAAGATTCAAGAGGTTGACATTTTTATTTGTAGTTAAATAGTCAAATAGTGTGACATAACAATGGAAAATATAACAAATGATGATACACCAGATAAATATCATCTTTAATTTATAAATTCATGTGAAAATACAAAACAACGTCATCAAATTATTAAATATAATAGAAAAATTCAACTTTCTTCTTCTTTGTTATAGGTTAATTTAAATATTAGTTCTAATTGAATTTATAGTGACATTGAACCGTGAGAGGTTAGATTTAAATCATAATAATTAAGTTGTAAACCTGCACAAATATGATTTAACAAATAGTCATATACCAAGTACACTACACTACTAGAAATTACTCCGTAATAGTCATTAATGATATTTAAGACATTAGCATTTTTTCAATATATATCAAAATATAACATAAACTATCTAAGAGGAAAAAATAACGATATTTATACATATTTGCATATACCAAAATATAACATAAATTATCTAAAAGGAAAAAATAACGATATTATTGGTCTATAAAAGAGATTCATTCATATGGGAAAATATACAAATTTCAAATGCATTATTGTAACGGTCCGGTCCGGTCCGGTATTTTCGATTATCAAAATCAAAGACCGGTCTCGTACACTGCACGTTTCAAACAGTACGGTTTTGGTTGGGGATAGAAATCTATAGAACCGTTTAAATACCTGGTATTCGGTTCGATACCATTACGGACCGATTTGGTACCGGTTCGGTTTTTATGCCCACGCCTAAAGTCGAGTACCAAAAGTGTCAATGACATAGGGTGTTTTTACTTGGACTGAAATTTGTTGGTCTGGTCTGTTTAAGTCTGGTCTATTATTTGTGCGATCTTTGTGTATTTTATAACTACGGAAGTCTAGACGTACTAGTCTGATCTGAACCAGTCTGGTCTGACCTGGTCTGGTGCTAAAAGCAGACCAAGTAAAAACATTCATAATAGTCAAATGACTAAAAGTGACAAAAACTCTTCATCTAAACAAATCAGTAACCTTTCATAACATATGCATTCCCATGAATTTCATACATATTCTTAAAGAGGGCGTCTTAAGATCCGGGGTTCCACCCTAAAAGGTTAACATGATAGGAGGAGTAGTCCAAATGCTTTAAGAGACGTATCCACTAATTTATCATTCTGAGCTAAATATGAAAAATAATACAAAAAAAATTACATTGGAAAAACTGAAAAAATAAGATACTCTCAACTCCAGCTGACCATAGCTCATACATTGATCCTCTATTGCTAGTCAATATATCATTCCTCTGCATCATCTCTTCGATCGATGGTGGCGACTACGATTAGCGATGGAGATGGCTACGAATGAAGAAGCGGCGACAGCTAGACCTGCCACTCCGCTCCTTTCACATTCTCTTCTTCTCCTTTCTTGTGCACAAACCATCGTTGCTCGCTCCACTTCGTTTCTTCTCCCTTTAGATCCATTCTTCCGGTGACGTGCTTCGTCGGATTTAGGAGGGAGGAGTGGCCCCAGATCCAGGCCGACCTCGACCAGACCTGAAACTAGACGGGGCTAGTTAGGATAGGGCGGGGCAGAGAGAAGTAGCGGAAGGGATTTGGTGTAGGCGGTGGCAGTGGTCAGGTCAGCTGGTGGCGGTGGCAGGTTACTAGCGGCGGCGACAGGTCACCGACAGTGTTGGTGGGACGAGGAGGTAGCGCTTGTCACTATCGGGTCGAGTAACCATGAATGGCAGGTGGGGTAACTGTAACTGGACGGGTAAGGTAACTGTAACTAGGGATGGGACAGGTAACTGTAACTGCGGTTCAGGTAACTGTAAGTGGACATGTCAGGTAATTGTAACTGGATGGGTCGGCTAACTGTAACTGACAGATCGAGTAACTATAACGGGCAGCAATGGGTCACTGGCGAGGCGGGTCGCAAACGGATTTTTGGTCAGTGATAGATTTTTGTCACTGTAGCACTAGTGAACGAGAATATATTAATATAAGAGTATAATAGACTCTTTGCATATATTTAGTCTCATTTTTGGAAATATTTAAAAAAAATCCTTTTTTGTCCATAACTCATATTTTAATACTCTCTCCATCCCAAAATTGAGTTGCAAATTTAATTTTTTGGGTCAAGCAGTCTCATTTTATTCATTTAATTAGGATACCAATTTTTAATTAAATTTTTATTTGGACTTCACAATTTGATAGAAATTTTAATGTAGTTTCTGAATTTTAATTATTACAATTGAATTATTTATCAATAGGGAGGATTTAACTTTAACATTGATTGACCAAAAAAATGTTGATTTTGCAAAACAAATTGAGACGGAGGTAGTAATATTTTTGACATAATCCCTTAATTATGTATTCGTTTTTATTGTACTTCCCCCGTCCCTTTTTATTTAGCCAAATTTAACTTTGTAAGTCAATGATGTTAAACTTTGACAAATTATATATTTATACACAATAATACTCTATTCATAATAACATGAAAATGATTTTTTTATGGTAACATGAAAATGATATGAAAATAATTTTTGTTACAAATACAATCATAAAAGTATAAACTTATTAAGTTTGACATAAAGATTTTAATTAAAATAATAGAGGAAAGTTTACTATATTTGACAGGGAAAATTCAAAATGACTAAATTAAAAGAGATTCATGATTATGATTATGACTAGATCAACACTCTTAACATAGATTATTATCAGACGTAAATACTTCTCCTTTCACATTTCTCTCTTGTAGTCTTGTTGATTTTCTGCTTTCACATATCTGTCTTCCCTTTTGAATTTCACCTGGCAGCTGCCCCTTCACGCCATGTCTAAAGTTTATAACTCTTTCAAAAGATACTCCAAAAGATAAAAGAGAAACGACTTCTCGATCACTTGCCAAGAATTTTATACATACACGCTAGCTAGCTAGCTATATGTAGCAATAGCATCATTCCATATATATACACATTTCAAAAAATAAATATCTGGCAGTGATCGAACAGGTTATTTTCCTGCAGCAGGCTAGCTTCTCTTTATCTGTCTGTGGAAATTAAGCTGAAACCCACCACGGGTTGAGGAAGAAGAAGAAATGTTCAGAATGAGTCAATGGAGGCTCCTCATCTTCGTCCAGTTCATCTCTCTGTTAATATGTTCAGGTGACTGTCCCTATCATTAGTGTTTACTTGGAGTGCTCTTTGATGACATTGTTTTACATATTTTCATTTCATATATAGTACGTATCATAATAATACGGTAATACTATCGTATACCAGTATATTTAAGGTGATGGTATGTTTTAAGTTATCATCATCTTCTTAATGGCGATCCGGCCCAATCTGATCTTAATGCTCTTTTGTTGTATCAGAAATTAATTGCACAATGCATGGTAATTTTATTCCCGTTCAAAACTGGTATATATCTTCATATATATTCAAAGTTGTCCAATTCTATGGACTATGGTATTGTTAAATTAAAGTTCTCGTTCTTACCTTGTGCTTTAATTTAGATCAATAAAATTAATTATTGCAATTAAATAATGAAATATAAACAAATGATAGAAATAATCATGTAAATCAATCACTCTTAGTATGTGATAATTATAGGTAGTACTCCGTACAATATACTCACTTTTTCATGTGGTACGATAGCATGCCCCTTCAAAGTTGGTCACATTTGTATAATGGTGAATCTTATGATCCTCATCAAAAAATGATGGTATAGTGTCTATCATACGTTTGATTGATCTAAGTCATTATTTCATCATTTATTTACACTTGAATTATTAAATTACTATATTTCACTTGGTACCTTGCGGTGTCATAGAAAAATTTGCCTTGTATTATCAATCACACCTATTCAAGTTAATATTAATTCATGTGCTATCCGTTCTATCGATCATAAAATGATGTACATTTTTTGTACACACAATCAAGTTGACATTTTTAATACTCGGTACTAGTTAAGATGAAATTTTTACTACTAGTAATATTTTTCTTTTAGTGAATTTAATCTGTCGACAAAATGATCCTCTAGATGACATTTAATTACTTTGCTATCATGATGGTGTTTTTGCTTGTGATGGCAATTTGACTAAATTTGTAATTTGACTTAATAATGACATTATAATATCATCATGAATGATGACATTCAAATTTCAAAATTACATTCTCGCTTGGGCATTTTTGTCATTCACCCCAACTTTTAGTGCTACTACATGACATGAAAAGTCATGGCCGGCCTTATTTTTGTACTTTGGCCATGTACGTGTTAATTAGTCTTCTTTGGGACATTTTTAAACTTCTAGCTATGTGTTTCAAATTGAATGCAGAGGGGAAAATATCCAGCATCCAAAGAAATATTTTTTCATCATCTACTCCTCCAACGTCGAAACCTCCTACTAGGGCTCCTACGCTTGAGGCTGCAACTTCCACGATTTCGCCAGCATCTCCCACTCTAAGCACCAACTGGTGTATTGCTGGAGAAAATGCTTCCCCAGATGATTTACAAAGAGCCTTAGACTTTGCGTGTAACACGAATAAAACTGGTGTTGATTGTGCAGACATACAGCCTGGTGGAAACTGCTTCATTCCCAACACCCTAAAAAACCATGCCTCCTATGCTATGAATCTCTATCATCAGATCAATCACAATCTTTCTGACAGCTGCAGTTTTGGTGGGGTTGGGTTCATAACCACCGTTGACCCGACTGAATCACTCGTTAAAACAACACCCATTATCCAAAATAGTTTCAACGCGTCCCGTGAGTCACTCATCCTTCAATCTTAACGGTGTCATGCATGGTTATTCTACTTTGGCTATGAATGAGGGTTAACTTTATAATAGTATACCCATGAATCCGTGGTCGAATCATATATACTCTGTACTATGAGGGAAATTGACTTTGCACGCCAATTTTGGGGTGATATTGGACTTCACATCACATTTTCAAAAAACTTTGATTTGGCATCTCTCACTTGAAAATCATTTGATTTTGCACCCCATTTAGAAACTTTTCTTCACAAAATGTTACTATGTATATGATGATGTGTAAAGTCAAATCTTTTTAAAAATGTGTTGCAAAGTCCAATATAATATCACCCCAAAATTGGCGTGCAAAGTCAAATTCCCTCGTAGTACAGAGTATATATGATTCGATCACGGATTTATGGGTATACTATTATAAAGTTAACCCTCATTCATAGCACACAAATTAAATAAGCTGACTAGAACGTAACCCCATGTCTCAGTGAAATATAAATTGACCTTTTTTATTAATTATTCTGATCTGCATGCTCTACATGTTATTGTTTGCAGAGAATGCTACTAGTTTACCATGTCGTTATCTACCAACAAGGTGAGAGATCAGATAGAGTAGTTTTGCTTAATTGCTTGCATGCATGATGCATGGTTTACATATATACTATACGGGTAAAATGCATAAATAATACCTCTATTATTTGTATTGTTGTACTCTGATATCTTAACTTTTGTTGTATTATTTGTATTGTTGTACTTTGATATCTTCACTTTTAAATGAATTAATGAAAGAAATCAATATCATAACTATAGTTAAATGTTTCAATCGACAATACCATTGGTCAAACTTTTCAGCCAATAAATCCACACGGCGACCAGAATATAACTCGTACAATCCTCTGTATAGTGGAATCCCGGCACGGAGGCACCCCATAAAGGATTTTTTCATCAGAAATTTGAATAGTATTGTCGTTTAAAACGTTTATGTATAGTTATGATACCGATTTAATTTGTTTCATTTAAGAGTTAAGTTTCAAAACGCAACAATACCAATAGCTAAGGTAAGTATTGTTTATACATTTTACGATTTTACACACTCTATATATACACTTCTTTCTCTTTAATTGTCTCTAGATATATGTTTTTGTTTGTGTTGTTTATTATGAAGTACTACGTATTCAAAAGTGTATTAAGTATAGATTGATGTTCTTAAAAATGCAGCACAAGTGCATCAGGGTTTAACAACACTTCATTAAGTGGAACTTTTGGTGGAACTATTGGATCTGGACCTAACAGAGCCCCCTCATCATATTCCTCAACTGCTTCTGCACGAATTAGCTGCTTACAGATGTGTTATTCCATGATGTTAGCATTTCTTATGATGATATGCCTGGCGCGCGGATGATCGTTAATTGTCATATTGGTCAAATTGCAGTTAATTATGATCATTTCCTTTTGCTGCAAAACTGAAGACTTAATTGGATGGTTCTCACAATTCACACACAGAAATATACTCCGTCCTTATTAGTTATTACTATATATATATATATATGGAAAGCCCAATGTATACTGCCGGGCTTAATTTCATGTTTCCAGATGGATTGTGCATTCATTATGTATTGATACGTACTCCCTTTGTATGTTTTTTACTTAACTTCATGTGTTGATATCGTTATTGTTAATTTAATGTTTTACCCTGCTGTGGTATTTTTGCTTATTGAAAACTTTGATCTTTATTTATAGGAGTAATAACTAGCTGGTCTGAAATTTGCTGGTCTGGTCTGTTTAAGTCTGGTCTGGTCTGGTCTGGTCTGAACTGGTCTGGTCTGGTAAACGTTTGGTCTCTGTGTATTTTATAACTACGGAAGTCTGGTCTGGTTTGGTCTGTTTAAGTCTGGTCTGGTCTGGTCTGTTTAAGTCTGGTCTGGTCTGGTCTGGTCTGGTCTGTTCTGGTCTGTTTAAGTCTGGTCTGGTCTGGGACTGAAAACAGTCCAAAAGAAAACATAAAGGTGTTTATGTTTGTAATTGAAAACCTACGATGCTTGCAGCTTTACTTTGAGCCTGCAAAATCTAAAACGCCTTTTCACACCCAGACTTCGCATATTCCTGCCTAGACTTCAAAGGCTTGAGGTTTGGCTTCGACGCCTCCACACCTCACGCCTTTTAGAACACTGGTTGTAACTTGTAATTGCTTTTTAACTTTTTCTATTACACACAGGCGCGATCCTATCATTTTATGGGTCCGGGATAGTATAAGTAGATCTACTTGTAATAGTTTTTGTTAAAAAACTATCTAGAGTAGGCCGGTCGTATGGACAATGTGTGAATACTTATAATAGTTTTTGTTACAAAGCTATAAGTAAAAAAAAAAACCAATTTGAAATCCAAACATGATAATAACATATCAAAGAAACTAATAATGTAGGTAGTTAGAAATATCTATTTAAGCATTTGATAAACGACAATAGAGGATACTATGTACCTAAACCGGTCAAGCGAAACAAATAGTACAACTTTATATTACTTGCAATAAATAATTTTACATTAGGGGAAAACATGAAAGATATGCTCTGTATCATATAAGGACTAACTTTTTAATTCATATTTCACATCACATTTTTAATCGACTAAACAAAATTGCAAGTTTCCAAATTCTGAGTATTATAATTTAATCTTTCGATCACTTACACGAGAGAATAAAATAAATTAAAGAGATACTATCAAGTTTATTATATTCAATCGCTTATAATAAACGTAATTCAATCTTTTGAGTTGCTTGGTGCTAATCAAGCATGCAAGTCTACTCTCAAGCTACTCAAAATCGACTTTGCTCTTATTCAAACATAGCTCACTCAATTCAAATTCCATTCGTACTTGAACTCGACTCGATCCAAATCAAGTCAAGCTATATTTATACATACTTGACTAGAAAAGCTCGCAAACTACTCGATTATTAGTTAGTTTTAATTACTATAGATTAATACATATAATATGACATTATGCCATTACATCACATATTCATATTATGGATCCATGCATACAAATTGTACATATGGTCTACTAAATATACGAGTACTAGTGATTCACATATTGCATAACTTCTACGGATTATAGGCACTCCGAGACAATGCTCAAGTAGAACTAATTGATTCCACATGCTAAATTTTAAACTCCGTAGTAAAGTCTAGTGAAAACCTTGTGCATTTAAAGTTAATAGTAGTGTAGTACGGGGGATAGATTTTTTCGGATGCGGACATCTCCCTGACATAGGGTTTGAGTCTCTGCCGTCCTTTGGTGCGGCGTCCGTTGGTTAACGAGTCACATTGCTTTTATGGAGGTGATTAATTCTAAGTCCGATACTAGGGCGGATCACAACAGAAGACTTGTTGTCATTTTGTTATCGTAATTTAAGCCAATTTCGTTCAAATATAATAATTCTCTTTCATCTTTACAAACCAAATCACACGACTTTTATTTTATTATTATTCTCCGGTCTCATTCGAAGTAGTAAATAATAGGGAAAGTTCTCGAAATAGAACTAAAACAGTTTGAAAATTTCAAAATAGGACTGTCATGTTTTTTATTTCCAAAATAGGAGTAATTACTGCCAAGTTTGAAAAATACTGCAGTGATGTTTGAAGTTTGGTACTGCCAAAACATAACAGTAATTAATTCTATTTTGGTAATAAAAATATGACAATCATTTTCAAACCTTTTTAATATCTCTAAGGGTCTGTTTGCAACAGCTTTTGCTTTTAAAAAAGTGCTTTTTTTAATGAAATGGGGAGAAGTGATTAAAGAAAAGTTGATAGTGTTTGAGAAAAAAGTGATTTTGAAAAGTAAAAGTGGGTAGTGTTTGGTAAAATAAGTGCTTTTTGTGTAATAGAAAAAGTAAAAGCACTTTTAACGCGGAAGCCGAGAAAAATAAAAGTTGTAGTGTTTGGGAAAATAAATGCTTTTTTGAAGCCAAAAGCTGAGAAGTGCTTTTTTAAAAGAGTTGTACATTCGGATAACACTACAGAATGAGCCCACTCAAGTTTTAATTGTGCTGGTTATCTATCATGATCGGCTCTGTCGGTCCATCGTTGCAATATTGTTATTGTCAACCAACGGCATTACTGTTGTGGTTGCGTTTATTTCTGAAATTTCATCTCTTCTGTTTAATTGCTGATTCTGTGAGTATCGTTATACTCCGTATGTAATTCATAATTCATAAACAAGTAAAGAACCATTAATTTGGGAGCAAGTAATACACAATGTTACCGATACTTCAATTCCAATTATCTCTCGCCTACTCCTCCCCTGACTGTCGTCTTCGTGCACTGTTTCTGGTTTGCTAGTTTCGTGCTGGCGGGAGAGAAGGAAGAAGTAAAGGAGTAGAAGGAATCATCTCCTCTGCTTTCACGTAACTGTTTTGCTTCTATTTATTTGCATTCACAATTTGTTGTTATTCCTTCTACTTTGGACAATTGAGTTTTGGCTTTGTCTCTCTGCCTCTAAGGCTCTAAGCGGGTGCTTGATTTCAGGAGATTTTAAGTGTGCGATAAAACTGTGCTTCAACAAGTTGTAAATTTGTAATCTTTTACTCGATTGTTGGATGGTTTTCAGTAACTGCCGAGTAAATGATGGCAAAAAGGAAATGTGTGTACCGGGTTTTGTTTTTCTTTGGCTTCATGTTCGATTAATCTCAGCCTTTTTCTTTTGTGTGTAATTTGGGATGATGTTTTGGCCCATGTTAAACGTGGAATTACTGGAACGCTTTTGTGTTTTCGTTGAATTGTCCTCCTGTATGCATTTATCCAGCACATTGCATTTGTTTTATTCAATATATTATTTTTCAAAATCTATTTTTTCAGATTTTAAGGCAAAGGTTTATGGATAAAGTTTGTGTCTTGATATGCATGTTAGAAACTATGTGCCAGGTTTTCTCTTCTTGTCTGCCATAATGAGAGTTTGAGGAATGCTTTTTTCTTTTCAATATGATTTAGATAAAAGGAAAGCTTTCTTCTCTGAGTTATTGATAAGTAATAATGAAGTAAATAGTGATCCACAAGATGTTTCTTTCAATTTTCAAATTTTTACAACTTCCAGTTCAATAATAAATTAACAAATATCATCGGGGGAATAATATTTTAGACGGTGAATTGTAGATTTTTTCTGTCATCTTGTGTTGCTGCTGGTTTTTGGCTGTTTATCTTGATTCATGATTCAGTCAAAATCTCAATTCTGATCTCAATGACTTGAATAGTTAAATGGCTATATTTACATGTATTCTTTCAATTGACACATTTAGCTTTGGTCTTTTCCCAACCTGAATGCTCTCATTTGTCGATCATTTTCATTTCATTTTCACTTACCCCAGTGCCGTAAAGGCTCCCACCTACGGTGGGGTAAGGGGGGGTCAGATGTACGCAGTCTTACCCCTGTACTAAAGCACAGAGAGACTGTTTCCGGATGACCCATAGTGAAAATCGCGTCCAAAATTGCATGGCTGACTACTGCTTCATAACAAAGAAGCAGCAAACAGTTTAGTGAGCCATTTTGCTTTATTCCATAAATCAGTCTGTGTGTGCATATAAAAGAGAATATATTTTACACACTGTATTCCATTTTAAAAAAGAATCTTTTAACAATAGTTCTTAGATTGGCATCTGTTGACCAGATAGAATTTTGTATCTTTAAGTTTGTTAATTCCTGTTTAATAATTTTCAGCCTGGTTGAAGTTCTAGCAGCAAACATGTCTAACAGATTAAGAAATGCATGGGCTATCCCCAATGGAACCACTGCAGATCATGCCTTAACTGACGTTACCTTGTTCTCATGTTCAATGCCAATCCTTCCACATAAAAAATGTCAGCATAACCATCCTTTTCGGTGCTCATTTTATAACTTCCTTCTTGTATATATAACTTAATATTTTTTTCTTCTGTTATGCAGTAATCCCCAATGACTCTGAGACTAGAGGCCAATTGATTGATGATAGCACACATAGACTAAGTGGATATCATGTAGAAGGGGGGAGTAGTAGTCTATTCGATGATGATGATGATACAAGGATGTTTGGGAACTTTCTTCCTGGGGATGAAGATGAGTTATTAGCCGGCATAACATATGATTTCGAACATAGGGGACTGCCTTCTAACCTGGAGGACTTAGAAGATGATCTTTTTGGCAGTGGAGGGGGGATAGAGATTGAATTAGATCGCCATGATAATAACCTACTTAACGGTTTTGCAAAGTTAAGTATTTCTGAAGGTATTTCTGGAAGCAGCATTGGAGCTTATGGTCTTTCCAATGGTTCTGGAGAACACCCCTATGGAGAGCACCCTTCGAGGACTTTATTTGTTCGTAATATTAACAGCAGTGTAGAGGACTCTGAATTGAAATGTCTGTTTGAGGTAAATTTACTTTTGCGCAACATTATACCTTCTTCCGCGTGAATTTTTCTACTTTTAGTTTTCTTTTGTTGGAATCCCACATCAGAAAATTAAAGAATGAAAAGTGGATTATGAGACCCATGGATTGAAATAGTTAATCATTTGGATTCAATCTTTCGATGTGGTTGTGAACTAAGTGTCTAAAAGATGAGATCGGTGATCTCAATTTTTCTCCCATTATTCTTGGTTGTTATACAGATCTGTTCAATATAATTATATGTGAGAGATTGGTTGTTGTGTTGTCTCATATGACTATATGGATTATGGAGTGATCCTAATTAATTTCTTAAGGGTCTTCAGGATCGGCCTTTTAAACTTCATTGGCCTGAACAACACGCAACTGACATGAAAATATGCGGAGAAGCCGGAGAGGCTTTAAACGGGCTTTCTTTCTTTTACCATCATCATTTGAAAGACACTTGATCACTGCAAGTTAGTTTAAATAGAGATGGCATACAAGATTTGTATTGTGTGATTGTAATGTATCTGAAATGTACTGCGCTGTTTAATTTTTCAGAAAATCATTCGACTGCCTTCCCGGTTGAATTTTTAGCTGAAATTTGGTCTGGGTACACTAGACTTAATGAAGAAGATGCTCAAAAAAATTCATCAAAAAATTCCACCGGGAACTGCCCCAATTGGCGACGTCCGGGCAGAAACTCCTATATAAGGGGCTAATTGAACACTTTAGGTTAGTTCATGTACCTATTTGACCCTTTAGCTTTTTTTTTTAATGAAGTTATGTCTCTGAGAGAAACATATGAAATATGATGCATATGTTAAGATGGATATGGTAATGCTAGAAAAAGATAGAATCACAATAAGGAGATTCACCATTGTTAGAGCCCACATCAGAAATTTAAAAAAAGAATGACGGGTTAATGAAACCTTGGGTTGTGGTTTGGCTCATGTGTCTTATGGCCTAGTTGAGTTACCCCTACAAACCTACCCGATCATGAGTTTTAACAACAATTTTTATCCTTGATGAATTTATTATGTTGCTTTTTGTATTTTTTGAGTAATTTAAATTTTTCTTAATTGAAGCAATTTGGGGATATCAGAGCACTATATACAGCATGTAAGCACAGGGGATTTGTGATGATATCTTACTATGATATCCGAGCAGCTCGAATTGCAATGCGTGTCCTGCAAAATAAGCCTCTAGGAAAAAGAAAACTTGATATTCATTTCTCAATCCCAAAGGTGCGAACCTAGATTTCATGCAATTTAAACTTATTGTTCCTTTGAACATAAAATGTACCACCTGTAAAATATCATCTTATTTTGCTGCATGCATGCAGGAAAATCCATCAGATAAAGACGTTAACCAAGGAACTCTTGTTGTGTTCAATTTAGATCCTTCAGTGTCCAATGATCACCTGCAACAGATATTTGGGGCTTATGGGGAAGTCAAGGAGGTTCCAGTTTTATACTCCTTTTCTGTTTATCCGCACTCCAACAAAAGTCATTCTGGTCATATATTTTATCATGAGCTCATTAGTTGTGGACTATTTAAAAAATGCAGATCCGGGAAACACCACATAAACAACATCATAAATTCATTGAATTCTATGACGTTAGAGCTGCTGAAGCTGCTCTTAAGGCTTTAAACAAAAGTGACATTGCTGGAAAGCGGATAAAGCTTGAGCCTAGCCGGCCTGGTGGAGCCCGCAAAAAGTATGTATTTCTATCTTTTGCTCTTTCAGCCTTTCAGCCCTTCATGGTTGCCGTTGTATCGATACATAAGTAGTCATTTTGTTGACTTGGTACCGCTTCTACTATCTAGAGGTTATTTTCTTTGTTCAGGATTGACTATATTGCATTTTAATGGATATATTGACCTTTAAACAAGTTTGTTGTTATGCCAGAATATATAAATGATCATACCCCCTTCCCCCCATGTTGCACCCTTAACCCTTTATTTCCTTTTTTAGCTTGATGCAACAAGGGACTCGAGATCTGGAGCATGATGATGTACGATCATTTGGGAATCCAGTTGGATCACCCATAGCTAACTCTCCTCCAGGTGCATTTAGTGTTGACTTGTGATATGATTGTTCTTTCATCTTTGTGGCTATCGTGATATATGATCTGAACTGGTGGGCATTATTTAACAATTAACAGGTAGCTGGCCCAATTTTGGCAGTCCAGTTGAGCCCAATCAATTTCACAACTATAGCACATCTGCTTGTTTAACAAATATCAGCCCTATAAATAACAGCATATCTGGCTTGACCTCAGTATTTTCCTCCAGTACTTCAAACCCCATGAAGATGGCACCTATCGGTAAAGATCACGGAAAGGTTAGTCATAAGAACAAAGTTTGATTAATTAATACTCCCTCTGTCCCAATTTGATTTGCAAATTGATCTTCGACTTTATATTTTAGGTATAGGTCGATGAATAAACTGACAAAGTTTCCCTTACTTTTACAGTTTTACCCTTTTTCCATTTACTTAAGGGAAAATGGTCAAATTGACCCGTCTACTATTTTCAAACCATCACCTAAGCCCCTATACTAAAAAAGCATCATTGAAGTACCTTTACTTTTAAAAACCGTTCAGTCTAGCCATATTATCGGTTTTTGACTTGTAATAACAGGTTTTTTATATTAAAAAAAATCTAAAAAATTGTTTAAAATTTGAATAAATATAAATAAAATATCTGAACAATTTCAAAATGTGAAACTCAATAGTTTGGTTTTTTTGGGTTTAGTTTTATATTCTACTTTTTTTAAAAAAATATCAGATTTTATTTTAATGTATTTTACATATTCATTTTTTTTGCATTAATCTGATTTTTTATTTTTTTATTTTAACATATTTAACTTAGTTATCTTTTTTCTTCATTTTTACAATTTTATATATTATTATTACATAATTTTTTGAAGTTATATGACTTTTTATAAGATTTATTAATTTTCCAAATTTATTTTTTCAAATATAACTTGCTATAGCAGGTCAAAATGACTTGAATGACTGTATTTTCAAAGTAAGCATACTCATATGATGCTTTTTTAGTACATGGCCTTAGGTGACGGATTTGAAATAGTATAAGGGTTCATTTGACCTTTTTTCCCTTTACTTAAATGCCTCTCTACTTTATGAGAGAAAGGGGGTAATAGTACAGCCAAACTTAATTTATTACCCTCATTGATTCTTGTACCAGTCAACTTTTGCAAGTCAAATTGGGACGGAAAGAGTAGTAAATTTTAAGTGTCCAACATCTGGTGTTTACTGATCTATATCTAATATTTAAGTGTGAGGTAACCTCCGTTTTTTAGGGCCCTTTCAGGAAATGTTTTGCCCGAATATTAAGGATCTTTTTGGGCTGTGTTATGCCCAGTTTAACGTAGAGTCCAGTCTGATTAAGGGTTCTTTGTTTGGCAGTCATGTATCCACCTCTCTAGTTGTCTAGTACTATCTGGCCCAAAAGATGTGTTAAGTTCCTCACATTATTTAAATGCAATATTTAAGTGTGAAGTAAGATTTTAGAGTGAGTTAGACCGATTTAATATAAATACTATAAGCCCTTTTTCATTTCCTGAGCAGAAACTCGGTTCAAGCTCTGTGCCTGTCTTTGATGACTCAAACCCATCTGTTATTGGGACACTTTCTGGTCCTCAGTTTCTCTGGGGAAGTCCTGTTGTTCAGTCAGAGCAAAATGTTTCTTCTTCTATATGGTCAAAACCATCAATGGGGCGGCTATGTACTTCCAATGCTCAAGGACAAGGCTGTACATATTCCCATCAAGAACAAGGCTATCCATATTCCCATCGACACAGCTCGTTCCTTGGCTCTCACCATCATGTGGGGTCCGCTCCTTCAGGAATTCCATTGGAAAGGCATTTTGAACTTTTCCCTGAATCACCTGAAACAACATGCCTAAGCCGATCTAGCTGTGGCAGTGCCAGCACTAGTTACAATAATGGAGGCTCTCTTGGTGGGACTTTTATTCAAAGTGGTTCTCTTGGTAGGACTATTATTGAAAGTGGTTCTCCTTTTCATAGAATGATTCCATTACTATCAAGAAATGGTCCTATGTTCTTTGGAAATGGCTTTTATGGAAGAGGACTGAATAATAGTGAGTTAATTACTGATCGCAGTCGAAGTAGAAGAGTTGAGAGTGGCGTCCAGACAGAAATAAAAAAACAATATCAACTTGACTTGGAGAAAATTGTGACTGGGGAAGATATGAGGACAACTTTGATGATAAAGAACATCCCCAACAAGTAAGAACAGTCTTTTTAATTCTTTATTCAGTTGACAACTTCACATGGTTTGTTTTTTTGGAAGTGCCAAGATCTACAGACTTCAGCCTTTCATTTACTATGTAGGTACACTTCAAAGATGTTACTTACAGCTATTGATGAGACCCATAGAAATACATACGATTTCCTATATTTGCCCATTGATTTCAAGGTAATTGTAGTATTTCTTGCATTTACCTTTTAGAGCTTATTTTAACTTCAAATGTAACTTAGTCCCCGTTTGATAACCTTTTGGACTGTCAGCATTATTAGCCAGATATTTTTACAAAACACCAGTTATTTTATTTCACACGCTGAATTGGTTAATAATGAAAAAGAGCAAGGTTGGAGGTAATTTTTTGGCTGAATATGTTGAAGATGACTATTTTAGTTTTTCCTTTCTCATACGGAGTATCTTTTAAATAGTTGTGGTTATTTTTATGTCACGTGTTTGTCTAAATTCAATATATAGCCTAATTTAGTGTTTTGTAATGAAAGAATGGCAAGTAGATAAGATGTTATACAATCAATGTTGTTGCATATTAATTATAGAAATGTTATGCACTTGAAAAAGAAAATTAGAAGCTACAAATTTGTTCTCTCCTATTTATACAGGTTATATACCTATTTAACCCGTTTAAATTAAGTAACAAAATATGATTTAAATTAACTTTTCATAATTCAGCCCATTTAGTTATACCAATCGTAACTTCATTAGTTTCAGACGTTCAGCCGATTCAACTAATTTTTGACTTATAAAATGATCGCTAGTCATTGTTTCATTTTATCCCACATTTTACTTTTGATTTCAGAATAAGTGCAATGTTGGCTATGCCTTCATCAATATGGTTTCTCCTTCACATATCATCTCTTTCTATGAGGTTCTTTCTTTTCCCTCTGTGTTTTTTCATGAATATATATGCTCTGTTAAGACATCTCCTTTGGGAGTGAGATATTCTTATAAGTTGTAACACACATTTACGCAGGTATTCAATGGGAAAAGGTGGGAGAAGTTTAACAGTGAAAAGGTTGCATCTTTGGCTTATGCAAGAATACAAGGAAGAACGGCTTTAGTTGCTCACTTCCAGAACTCAAGCTTAATGAATGAAGACAAAAGGTGTCGCCCAATTCTCTTCCGTTCAGAAGGCGTGGAGAAATCAGTTGAGGTGACAAAATTATGTGTAACCTTGTAGAATTCATGACCTAGGGCCTGTTTGGATACAAAATTATATTTAAAAAAATTGACATGGATAGGCCTGCTCCTTATACACTCTTGTGGTGAGACCCTTCACCAGACCCTTGCCTTGTGTGGATGCCTTCGTTCACAAGGCTGCCTTTTTTAGGTTTCACATACATTTACTGAGATATACTAATCGACATTTTTTTGGGTCACTCAGGAGCCTTTACCTTCCCGCAACCTGAATGTTTGTATTCGTGGGCCAGATGGGTCCTACTCAGGAGATTCTCTGGAGGACACTCTTGATAACGACCCCGGGGGTTCGACATTTGCAGGAAGTGTCTGACTACATTAAGTGAATAAATTTTTCAGTGCATATATAATAACACCATCAAAAACATGACTAACCACAAGAGTTCTTAGAAGGAGGGAGGACTTAGTGATATTGGAGGGAGCTGTTAGTTACACGGTAATGCTAACAGGGGGCACTTAGTGATATTGAATTAATTTCTTTCATTGGAATTAGTGGTCCAATATGTGATTTGGGTGATTTTACCTTTCATTTTAACAGGTTACCAGAAATCGAAAGTATTGTATAGAGGATTTAGGGATGCCACTCAAGTGTATAGACTTTACTCAGCTGTGTTTGTTTGTGGGAAGGAAACTATTGCCGCTGATGTACATGGATTTTTCTTGTTTATGGAGTATATAAAAAAATGTGCTACGTATATCTTAATTTAGTTTCATTTTTTCATTCATAGACTACAAATCTGTTAAATGTCTCACACCGGAAAAGTTTGGATGAATCAAATGCTATATTAATACATGGGCTACTCCTCCTATCAGGTTAGGATGGAACCCCGAGTCTTAACATGGTATTAGAGCCAAATTGATCCATGGTGTGGGGTCCCTTATGAAAAATGACAATTACGACCGGATAAAAAAAACGGACCGATGAAAAAAAATGTATGATGGCACGATCCAGACGAAGTGTCTGGTCGTGAGGAGGGGTGTTTAATGAACCAAATGCTATATTAACACATGAGCTACTCCTCCTATTAGGTTGACCTTTTAGGATGGAATCACGGGTCTTAACAAAATCGAACATGGTATATTAGTATGTTATACCTCCTATCCCAAAATGATTTGCAAAATCTACATTTCTTTATATAAAAATGTGCTACGTACTTTATTAGGATATCAATTTTAATATATGTTAATTTAATTTGAATTTTGCAGCTTTGTAGAGACTTCAGTATAGTTTCTGAATATGTAAATTTTAATTAGTAAAACTAATTTAATTGTCCAGAAGGAAAGTGTAATTAATCATAAGTCAAACTGTAAAACCTAAAATTGTAAATCGATTTTAGACTAGAGTTGGACTTGGGTTAGGCCCGTCCGGTCCCGGTTTTGAAAAAATGAAGCCCGGTACTGACCCGGTTTGCTCCGTTACCGATTCCGGTTCGGGTCCAAAAAGTACCGGTCCTAGGTTGGTATCCACCCATTTAGTTAAAAAAACAGCCGTTGGGTCTGGACATGACCTGGGATTGGCAAGGCCGGACCAAAAACAATCAAGCCCGAAGCTCGCCCCTTATAGCCAACGGTCTGGGTACTAGGCCGCTACCGGTCAGAGTCGTGGTGGCCCAATCCATCCCTATTTGACACTAGAGTAAGAGAGTAAGTAATCATTATTAAACTTCCTTGGTTACAATGATTGGCAATGAAATGGTGCTAACTTTGGGGGAAACTCGTCTACTCTGGGTTGTGTTTTCACTAAACTCTAAAATTGCTAGTTATATATCGATTTATGAAAATATGATTTCAAAACATGCTCAGTATATTCGATGTGAGTTTGGTTCTTGGGAGCACAATTTCAGTTCACGTAAGATTGATTAAAGTCAGAAACTCTGAATGAGAAAACAATGCAGTGTCTTTTTGTACTATAAAATATGTTTCAAATAAAATTACTCACACATCAGATTATCTAATAGCACAAATAAAAGTCTCTACAACTGCATACATAATCCGATTTACATAAATTAGCTTACTAGGTTGTGTAAACCACATAATATTGGTATATTTGTTGATTTCATATTAAGGATAAAAGGTTTCGTACTCTTACCTGTTCGAGTTCGATTCAAAATTTTAAACGGGACAATGAAAAGAGAAAAATTCATGATATTTTTTAGATTGAAGCCGGATCATTTTCTGTATTCTGGTTCAGCTTTTTCACATCAAACTAACTTGGCGTTTCATCGTAGCCACTAACCAATGAGGTTCATCTCCACCACCATAAACTTGCATTTGGGCTTCGATTGATTATTGCATCTTCACCTAGGTCTCGTTTGGGAGTGGCATTTGTGATGTAAACTGTAAAAAGTTTTATAATGTCCAACCCAATTCCAAACCATACCATGCATATTTTCTTTTTAAGCCGATTACAATTTCATACGGAGCATGTTAAAAGCCATTGCTATAGGAGTCAATTAATAGAAGAGACTAAATTGGAGCATATATTAGACTCTCAAAGTATAAAACCAAGAAGACAATGTGAAAAAGTAACTCAAAGTGGTTTTTTCGTGTTTAATCTTTTCACATCAAATACTCAAATAAAAAAGTTGTACCAAACACTAAAAATAGTTGTTTAACATAGTCAAACAATCAAAGTCAAATTAAAAGGCCAAAAATGGTTAATGGGCGACTTTCCAAACACCTTAAAATACGGTTTTCGTTTTAGCCAAAAGTACTTTATTTTAAGTTCTATGTGCGACATATATGTCATTATTCATAACTAAACATTCACTCTTTCGGTTTCATTGGAGTTGTGTGGCTAATTTTCCTTTTTAGTAATAATCTATAGTATTGGGACATATTTGTAATATTCCATGGGGAAAGACTTATCTAGTCAGCGTTTTGAATTTTTACGTTTCAATCTGTGCGTTGTTTCCCCTGCACAGATTGAGAGGTGTAATAATCTATAGTATTGGGACATATTTGTAATTTTCCTATTTATCTGTTTATTATATATAGACCACCATGACACCCTAATAGGTTGAGCCATTATTCCATCTTATTATTTCATATTTAGTTGTTCCAAGTTAGTCATTTTATAATTAAATTACTAAAGTAATTAATTTGTTATTCTACTCATTTTTCTATCTTATGTACAAATATCAATTACACAATTTTGACTTTATTTATTTCACACGTTATTTAAAATTCACAGCACTTTAAAATACCGATGAGAAGCACTTTTAAAAGAACTTTTCATATACGACAATAACGTCAATAAGAATAGTTCTGGTCTAATGACTACACAACATGGAGCATCCTATGACATTACAAATACTTGGTATAGCTAGGGATTCAGTCCCTCGATGAGAGATTTGTTGTCGGCCTACTGGTTAGCATAAATTTTCTATTTTCATTTTGATTGTCTCAAAATAATTTTTGCCACTTTAAAAAATGAACGTGTAGCTTTTATCATTTCATTCCATTTTGAAGCGGAATAATAAAGGTATGGAGTATTCACATCCAAGTTGTCCTATATTCCACCATAATTTTATCAAATTTGCTCGGAAATACTTTGATGGAGTATATGGTCCGGGGACCCCGGCCCACATACTCCTACTTCCTTTGCACAGGCTCATCGAACCCAATGAGCACACAAAGCCCAAACACATCAGCCCAAGTATCAAGAAGCCCGCGGTGCACATACGTGGTGCCTTCGGCCCTATGGCCGAAGGCTCCAAATTCCACAGGGCAGCCAGATTCCAGCATGAAGCGCTACTGGAAGAAAAAGGTAGAAAATAGGAGCCTTCGGCCCCTAGACGCCTTCGGCTACACAGAGCCTTCGACCACATAGGAGCCTTCGGCTACAGCGCAATCAGCGAAGATTCTCTTTGGAGACAAACAACGACCGCATTCAATGCGGCGTCACATCCAACCACGCATTTAATGCGGTGCACATGCGAATGCCGGTGCCACCCCGAATGAGGTGACCCCTTGGCCGTTAGATTATTGACACGTGTATTCTCATTGCATTTATGGCTGCTATAAACAGCATCCCTTTTTCCTCTTGTAAAGGACCACAACATCTCGAGTTCATTTAATATATTTGACTCTCTCTCCTACTTGTTTGCTCTGACTTCTCTCTAGGTTATTCCTCAAATAACCCATCGGATAAGCTACCCCGGATACACTTTACATCATACTTGTAAATGAAGACTTTTCCCAAAATCTCTCACGAGAGACTTGACGGATAACCAATTAAGGGAGCCACAGTTTCAAAATACTCCGTATGTTTTAATAATTGAGCATGTTGTGAGTTCTTTTTTTACAAATTCTAAAGTTTCATAGTCGCTTTTTCCATAACTTTTGCACGATTTGATATAAGATGTTTTTAGTTGGACGATTTGCATTCTCAAACCAGACCATACTTAAATATACCAGATCAGATTTAAACAGACCAGTCTAGATATCCGTAGTTATAAAATACAAAGAGACCAGACATTACCAGATCAGACCAAATTTAAACAAATCAGACCAGACCTGTCAACTCAGTCAAATTGAGTTAAGTCGCCAAGTCAGGTTAGAAAGCTCTTACGGTTGGATCGTGTCAGTTTTGAGCACTTTACATATATGCTCCCTAAAATTTCTGCATATTTATATTCATTACATTTATTTTAGTGATATATTTTTCATTATTTCAATTAATAATAGTATCTAAAGAGATCTCCTTACCTCAAATAAAAGAACTTTGTTCGTAAAATAATATAATTAGTTCTTCAAAAAAAATATGATTAGTTAGCATATCTGTTTTTTGTAATGAATAGTTATATAACGGAAAATATAGAATCTTTTTTGGTGACTCTGTTTTTCGGTTTATCAATCTTATCATCCAACTTTTTTCGTCAAACATGTAACTTTTGATTTGACGCGTTGAGTTGTGTAATAATCAAAATAAGTAATGTTGGAGTTACTTTTCCGACTGAATTGAATGAAGTTACTATAGAGGACCACTTTAACTATTTTTCATATAAATTTATTTTAATTTTATTAATAAAACATATTTTAGATATAATTTTTTCATAATTCAGCAGAACCAGTCAATCCAGCCACCTCATTCAAAACTTCATAAATTTGAGAAGAATCAAATGATTAATCCAATTTCAGCCAAGCCAGCATATCCCCCATGTTTGTATGCTTTCAAACCTCAATCACGCACAATTTCAGGCATAAAACGCACTTGCTATGTCATTTTCAATAACTTTTTCATATTGAGGGTGTAACTCACTTGGTAGGAAGAGGGTGTCACAAGAGAGGGGTCTCGGGTTCTACTCGAAGCCCACTCTTTCCATCAGAGTGATTAAAACTCAACTTACATCCTCTCATATAACTGTTTAGGCAGTTCTTGGGGCCCTTGGGGATGGGCTACCATCCTTTTTTCAATAACTTTTTTCATACTGCTCTTTCCAAATCTTACCCACACATGATTAAATTTATACGACTAAAGCATTAATAAGAGAAAACAGGCAAATAAGCTCTCGAACTATTTGCGTTTTTGCAATCAGGCCCCTGAACCGAAAAAAGTACAAATACACCCCTCAACTCATTGAAATCAAGCAATCAGGTTCTTTTTTACCCGGTGGTGTCGGTAGTTTCTCATCTCCTTACCTGCACCAGCCACATATATTGCTGATTAGTTTTTATTAAAGCCTTGGTCGCACTGGTCTAAGATTAAGTTTTGGAACTTCATATCACCATTTGTTCATTTCCCATGTTAAAAGCGTTTCGAAGTTTTGAAATTTTTCTTTTTTCTTTGTTAGTGCATTTGTTAATTTTCATCTACTAGGAGAATTCAATCTTAGTTATCTAGATATCAAGGGGATTCAACGTTTAAAGTTTTTTGAACTAAAATTCATATACGGCAGTCCATAAGAATTTAACTTCTTAGTGTCATCTTCCCAGGATGCAAATGAAATTGACAAGTGACTCGTGGAATGTAGAGAAAGTCCACTTTTAAGAATCCCCACATTAATCCAAAATTTTCTCCCCCTTATGAATAATGCTACATGTGAGTTGAAAGCGGAAACATGCTCTTTTATCTACTTACTGCATATTAATGATAGTAATGTAGGTTTGTAATTTATCCATTACATTTTTGCAGATTGTGGCCAAGAATCTGGCCAAGAACAGGTTATAAAATGTAATGTATCCATTACATTTTTGCAGATTGTAACATACTTACTCCATAGTTATAAAAGTCTTTTTGCAGATTGTGGTCAAGAACATTTCAAAAAAGTTGATAGTTCTGTTTTCGTCTTTGTCATCAATTGTGCTCAAATTGATAGTGGTTTCATTTCAATAAGTGTAATGTGAAGTTATGAACACATTATGCAGGTTGAAGAGATACGAAGATAAGATTGAAGCAAAGGAGATCATTGACCCTGGAGCAAGGTTTCTCTTGAAATATGTGGTGTCAAAATCCTTAGTTCTTTGTTCTACTCATTAAGTCTATTTTTGACACAATTGTTCTCACTTTAACTTGAGAAAAATAATCATAGTGTGCTTATTTAGACCAAATTTGGCATATTCAATACTTACGCAATTTTATTTCTATCTATGCTGTTTTATTGATCTTTTATTCAATACTAGTATCTTTTTAAACCTCGTTCAATTCTCCTCTCCTCTTCTATCTTTATGTTGCATATGACTCCTGTGATTATGTTATAGGTAACATAGGCTAGAGTCGACCTTCTTTCTGGACAGTTTAAAAAAAACTTTGTGATATTATCTATTTATATATTCTTGCCCTATTTATCTGTAAGTTGGTTAGTCTTTAAACAGGTCGTTAGAGATGCTATTCATTTTCTTCCAAGTAAGTCTTTTTACTATAAAATAGGGATTGATTATGTATAAATAATTTAATTTAAAAAGTCCAAGGCTTTCAAAAAGTCATGAAATCTCTGCAGTGTAGCCTCCATGTTGAAATTATAGGATTATATGGATGAAATTACACTGTATATCAAGGTATCATTGATATTCAAATGTGCGCTTCTTAGCTTCTGGCTTCTGCTACTTGCCCTTTGACGGGGTGATAAGTTCTTTACATTATTTGTATTGTATATTGAAGTTCAAAGTGTTGCATATGATTGAGTTTGTAGGTTAGTATTTTAAGCATGGTTTGTATTTGGTCTCTTTTATATGTGTGTGTGTGTGTGTGTGTGTGTGTGTGTGTGTGTGTGTGTGTGTATGAACTGCCCAGTTAACTTCCAGAAATTATTTGAGTGCCTTCCCGATTGAATTTTTAGCTGAAATTTGGTATGGAACAACTAGACTTCATGAAGAACATGCTCAAAAAATTTCATCAAAAAATTCGATCGGGAAGTGCCCAAAATGCCCTCGGCCGGACGGCGGTTCCCGTCAGGCCGGCTGGACATGAAAACGCCTCTATACATATATATATATATATATAATTGATCCAAAGCTCGCGTTAGGTCCCTCGATGATGTGTGTTTTCTCGCACTTAAAAAGGTTGTAGAAAATTGATTGAAAGTACGAGTATCGCCTCCACAGGGACGGACAAAAGGGAATTAAAGATTAACTAAATTCAGCTATTAAAAGAGATAAATAAAATAAAATACAATTGTGCGTGTTTGGTTGGTTGAGTAAAATAAAACTAGTGCTAATGAGCGAGTAAAAAGATTGGTTTTTCCTTAATTAACGACGAAGGGAACAGGGACTGATTCCGGGGTTAACCAGATTAAGTGTTTGTGAATGTGTCCTATAATAAACTAGATCTCTCTTAATTTATTCTACAGGCAATTGTAATTCTAGCGGCCGTTCTAGGTTACAAGAGATATCAGTTAAATTATTCAAACACAAATTAAACGACATTCATGCAATTAAACCGAAAGGAATCTAGCCATACATCATGATCAACCCCTTCATCAAACTCAAATCCCTAATTAAACTACTCACGCCTCATAATTGACGAATCAAAAGAATTGGAATGAATAGAATAAATTGTCATTAATTAAAAGAATTGAACTTACAAAGAATCTGAGGTTCTTGAAGTAAACAACGTAAAAACGCAGATAAAATTCGTCCTAGGCCTCTCCACAAAGTTCGTAACCCTCAAAAAGGGTTAGGGAGGCCTTATTTATAGAAAAGGGTGGAATTTGAGCTAAATTAGGACAAATCGGGGCCAGGCATGACGCCAGGCACGATAGTGCCTGGGACCGTGCTTGCGGAGCATGCGCGCGTTTCGGGTGGAGGCACGATCGTGCCTGGCATCCAATAGCCTCTCACATGATATCCTTCGGGCACGATCGTGTCTGGCCTTTTCTTCACCGTTTCTTGCTCCAAATGCTCCCGGATGCAAATAAGGTTGATCCAAATGCTCTTTCTTCATCAGAATTTCGTCGTGAATCTCCCGATGACCTCCAAATCTCTCAAATCTCCCTCGAATGCTTCCAAACCCTTCCCGATTGCCTCTTTAAGCGACGATGCCGGTCTCTAACTTCTTCATTCAACTCCAAATGCAACAAAACTCGACCCAGTGCCTGGTAATCACAACTTGAGCTAAAATTGAGACTTGCAACGCCTTAAAGCTAGGAAAACCATCAAAAAATGACTCCAACACGCATCAAATGCGTGTTGTAATACGAACTTATCACTCGACCTAGCCTCCGGTAATCTTTATTTGATTATCGGGGGTCTTCAAAAAGCCGTCACCCCAATGACGCACTTTATCAATTGCAGATTGTCCTTAGCCAACCGAACGTACCAAGTGCTAGGCCGACGATCTACCACCACCGGCTACATCATAGCATCAAGTGTTTTAGCCGCAAGGACTTATAAGTCCCACAAAAGCCGTTCCCACGAGAACGCTCTAATTCCAGACGATACCAAGTATCATGCCGAGGGGTACCAAGTACCCCTGACCATTTTGTGTCCAGTGCACAAAGAAAACCCTTCTCGAAGACGCTTTCCGCGCCACCCCCAAGGGGCAGGCCCCGGTTTCGTCCTCGGGCCAAGGAAACGACTCTTCACAACAAAACGCTTTCTGCGCCATTCCCCAAGGGAATGGCAGGCAACGGACTATGTCCCGAGCCCAGGATTCGACTTTCACAAACGAAACGCTTCCTGCGTTATCCCCCAAGGGGAAGCAGGCAACAGACTATGACTCGGGCGGAGGGAACGACTTTCAAAACCGAGACGCTTTCCGCGTCATCCCCCAAGGGGAGGCAGGCAACAGACTATGTCTAGAGCAAAGCATAACGAATTTAATTATTAGACACCATCAAGAAAGAAACCATTCTGTTGAACAGTAATAAACTCTTGACGTTTAAGGTAACCAACATATTGATGTCTAGAGCATTAAATAATCACTATCATGAGACTTTCAGTATATTGAGAAGCTATTCCAGTAGCCACACATACTATTATAGCAGTATTCTGTCGGTCACGACATCTTAAAATTGAGAGCTTGGTCAGAAGTAGGGCTGGACTCGGGCCGGTTCGGGCCTGGGCCCGGCCGGGCCTCGGGCCAGAAAACTGGGGCCCGAGCCCGAACCGCCGGTGGCCGGTTCCGGTTCCGGGCCAAACCGGTCCATTTTTTTTTTGGTTCTCCTATTTAACCCCCTACCCCTCCCCCTCAACCCCAAACCACCACAAACCACCTCAAATGGCCCAAAACACCTAATCCAACCCAAAACTTAAAAAAAATTCAAAAAAAAAAAATTAAAATCCGGCCCGGACCGGGCTCGAACCGGCCGGGCCGGTTCGCCTAAAGCAGGGCCCGAGCCCGGACCGCCCATCACCCGGGCCGGGCCAAACCGAACAGCTGGACCCACCGGGCCCCGGGCCGGGCTGGGCCGGGCCAAACAGTAACCGGGCCGGTTCCGGGCCGGGCCGCCCGGCCCGAGTCCACCCCTAGTCAGAAGAATGTTTGATTGTGTTCTTGCATGGAGATTTGAATGATGTGTATATGCATCTAGAACACCCAAGTCTTATGTGGTTCGTCAATCTATGTTGATCACTATAGAGAACTTGTTACCATTTCTCCAATGCCTGATTACATATCTAGCATGACCTTAAGTCCAAGGCCATTTCCACTACATGGTGTTCCAGTGAATAAACTGTCAATTATGACTTTGAAATCGACATCATAGAGAATCTGACAATGAGACTCGATAAAAAGTGAAAAGTAACGTTAGCATTGCGGAAAAACAAGAAAAGCAACAGAGCAAGTTGGTAAACACACAACTACACAAGTGCTAAGGAAAACTAAAACGCCACTTAATGTAAGTACATTACACAAGTGTACAAGGGCATGGTAATGATATCCTTAAATAGGACTGTCGCAAAACATTTCACATACAATGGACATGAATCCAATATTCCATAAAAATATGATCTTGATGAACATTTAGTTTAAATTATTACATACTATGGAGTACTTAAGAAGCTTGACTCTGTGTTCTAAGACCAAACAAATTCTCGAATAACTTGGGGGCCATGGGAGGCATATCCATGGGCTCTGGAACCATGAAATTGACGATCTTTTCATGAACATTGTATCTGCATTTAACATCAAACTTGTTATTGCATGGATGATCCAATCAACAACTATGAGTGAATTAGTCTCGCTGGCCTCAATGGTTATTTACAGTCTAGGGTCACAAAGTAGGGGTCTACTTGGTCGTTGGCTAGCCAGCACCCTATCGAGAGCCGAGGGGGTGCGAATTCTGATTTTTTTCATTTACCCCAGTGCCGCAAAGGCTCCCACAGTGGGGTAAGGGGGGGGGGGGGGGGGTCGGATGTACGCATTCTTACCCCTGTACTAAAGCAGGGAGAGACTATTTCCGGATGACCCATAGTGAAAATCGCGTCCAAAAATGCATGGACTGACTGTTGCTTCATAACAAAGAAGCGCAGACAGTTTAGTGAGCCATTTTGCTTTATTCCATCATATTTTAAAGCCAAAAAATAATGAATCTTTGGCTCCATTGCAAATGATGGAAATTGGGGTGCGAATTCTGATATTGTAACAAATTTATACTACATACTGATCATCCATTCATGACTGACCTGATTTTACGACTCTTTGATGCTCGTCTGTCAACAACTTTCACTTTCTTTGTTTGCAGTCTTTTCCGAGGGTAAATTGTATTCCCTGCAGACGAAAAAGAATATCAAATTAATTTGAAATGAAAAAGACAGAAAAGACACATGGGGGATAAACTTAAAATCTATAATTTTTCTAAATAAATTTGTTTACTCATTTTATTTAATCACCTCAATTATAAAAGGACTAAGTAATAATCTATAATCAAGTATAGGATAATACACTAATGGTGATTTTTCACGTTTCCTAGAATTTCCCAGGTTCCAAAATATACTTAATGGGGTCCCCATTGTACATTTTGGGGTAGGACCAACAATAACATATTGCACATCGGTTTTATCAATGTCATCATTACCCCGAACTAGTCGGGGTTAGTGTCATGAAGCTTATATTGTCATTTAATCATCGAAAAAAGCGACAGCAGATAAACTTCCAGTCAAGAGCTCACGCATTGGTATTATGACACAGATTTGCTTTCAACTACTAACAGACATGTTTATGTGTGTGTGTGTGAAAAAAAGGAAATAGATGATGGAATACTCCGCCAAATTGAAGAATCTTACCGGATGATGTTGGATCAACAGAGTCAAAAAATTCCTTGAGCAACTGCTGATAGAAGTCCTCGTCATATAGAAGTTCTGGATTGCCATCAACATTTATACCCTGACCATATTTATATATATATATATATAAAATTAATCTCCCCACCTCATGGTGCATGGGAAAATAATAACCCTTTAGGCTATGATTGGAAAATATTACTTTTACGTTTGCCTTCACCTTTGAAAAAAATATAATGTTTCCGTTTTCAAATTGTTATATTGCATGCGGACATTATTAGTCCAACCACATACCTACGCGGGGTTAATAGATGCTACAGAAGAATTTTTGCAAATGACTTAATAAGATAGAAATATACCAACAAAATGAGTATGAACAAAAATCTAAAACTGGTTCATTGAGTATGAACCTGTTTTGTTTTATTTCCCTCAATTTTATTTTTCTTTAGACTTGCTGCCCTGTTTTATTTCCCTAGCAATTTCAGGGTTCCTCAATCCTAATGGACTGTAAGTAAAAGTTATTGCATAAAATATGACACTTGTAGAAGAAAAACAATATATGCTGGAAGGTATTAACGAGATATTTAATGAAATAGTTAACCAAATTAGGGAATATACCTCTTGTGTGGCTGTATGATCAATATTAGGAACCTGATCACGATTTTTTAGTACAAGTCAATACTAGACCAACCAAATGGAAGCACAAAAAGAGAGAAAACTAAACGCAAAGAAGAGAGACTTACAGTACCAAATATAGCTACAGCGGACGTATTCAGCTGCATACCCTTTATTGTTTTACTTGGATCTCTCATGTAATTACTCACTTGTTGACTAATGCTCTGCAATTAAATAGTAAACGTGAAAAGCTGGTTCATTTTTTCATACATACAAGAAATCAAAATCCTTCAATGGCAAATCAAACCTGATTAAATGCATGTAATTTTCCTTTAACTGCAGCAACACCGGTTGTTACTTGGGTCCTTCTTTGCCATTTGTCTATTGACTTGTCTCTAAAAGAAGCCATTCTGTCCTCAGCAACATGAAAGCCATAAGAAGCATTAGCTTATGCAAATAAATAATTACATAAATAATATAATACAAAGAAAAAATTTCTACTTTTGATCCTCAAGTTTTAACTGCCGCTAATGTGAGGCTTACCCTATGTTTGGATTGAGGGATTTGTATGGAAGGGTAAGAAAGAAATTGTTTAAAAGATGACCTCATATAATTGGAAAAGTGTGAATAAAATTTTATAATTAAATCTTTCTTACACCCTTATCGGTTATCTTTACATACTTTCTTAAGTTCTTCATTAAAATCTTATAGCCACTTCTCTGATTAAATTTAAACTAACAGTTCGTAAATTATCTTTCAAATTCATCAACTCAAATATAGGGACATAGGGTTTGAATCTCAAAATTTTAGATTATCTTTTCAAATTAATCCTTACATGTCCAATATCCCCAAGTCCCTATAAATAAGTTTATTTTGCACATTTCAAAAGAAGCTAAAATAAATCTGAACTTAATCATATTACTAATCTGTGAGACAACATCAAATAAAAATAAATACATACAGTATCGCCAGTACAATATTAACTCATTTAGAATGTAAGACAGAAACAAATTGCTGAAGTTTCTTCTTTTAATTTTTTTTTCTTTTAATATTAGAAAAGAAAAAAAGAGAAGCAAATAAATTTTGGTATGCATAGATCGCATTCCATAAAGGCCAAAACAGTATCAAAAATATAATTATATGCTGCTTAAGTTATACATTTAGTTAAAGTTATTCTAAAGTATTACATGTAAACGCTCCCCACAAATTTCTTTCAAGAATATATAAACAGATTGGAAGGGGCTCCATGTAAAGCTTGAATACTTAATCTTTGAACATTGCATTGGTATAAAGTATGTAGCAACCAATAATAATGGATTAAAAGTATATCTATAAGGTATCCATCAATACAACCTTGAATGCATTTGAGCAATTTGTGACCATTCTTCATCAATTTCACCAATTGCCTGATGAGACTCTTCCACAACATCAGTTCCTATTTCATAATTAACTTTTAGGGCAAATATTAAGCAAACCAATCATTGCAATATACCGCCATAAATCCATACTACACGGGGATATGCAACATAGCTTTAATTTGATGGTAAACAAACATGAGTATTTGATTAAACTAAGTTAGCAGTACAACATAACAATAGAATGTATGATGTAGTCTAAAACTAGCATAATATAATATGCTTGTTTTGTCCTCATTCTGCTTGCTTTGAATCAAAGAAGAACTCATCAAATACAAGATCCTGATACAGATAAGCTCAGAACTTTTAATTGTGAAGATACGTAATTAGACACAACCAGGTATTCAAATAGTTAGTTACTTAGTTAAAAATGCGTAAAAGTATGCCATACCATCTGTGGATTGAGTAATTGATGGATTATTCTCAAGAAGTGCCTGCAAAAAAAAAAAAATTTAAGCAAATTATGAAAAAACATTCAACACTGTATCCAACTTTAAGACTGGAGACAACGTAAAACAAGAAAACAAGGTAACAATAGACTATGAAAATCATATTTGCATTGATAGGTTGTATGGCTTTGTCAGCCTACCGCTTGTAATTCCGATATAGACTCCAAAGTCTTCATTGAAGAACCAATTAGATCTGAATATGCTTCACTAATTTCATCACCATAATCACAGAATGAAGACTTAATTGGCTCCTGAAGAGAACAAACTTAAATTTAACCATAATGTGAAGCAGAAGTAGATGGGACTAGCAAAAACAGTTCAAGAGAATATGGACCTGTGGAAGTCTATTGGAGCTTGAGAATGGTTTCTGCAGCAAGATTCTTATCTCAAGAGTCTTATCCCAAAGAGCCTTTGCAAATGAATAAATATACATATCAGGAAATGGATATATATTGACAATGAAACTAGAAAATGGAAGAATAAAATTGACAAAATAAATACAAAAGTTACTAACAAAATATACAAATCTCCTTGAAAATTAATAAAATGACTGCTGGGAAGAAGATAATACAAATCTCCTTAAAATAAAATAGCTGCTGGAAAGAAACATTATTATGAATTTGCGATGAATCTTAAACCATAGATGCAACTTAGCCACTAAGGCAAACCTTTGTCGTTGCTTCCAAAAGCACTTTTCAGCTTTTAGCTTCAAAAAAATAATAGTGCTTTCAAAAAAATGTTTATGCTTTAATTTAAGCACTTAAAGCTCAAAGCCGTAAGTGAAAAAACTGCTTTTCACAATTTATATATCATTTCATCCTTATATTCTCAAAAAAGCACTACCAACTTTTACAATTAGGAGATGTTTTTACTTGGACTGTTTTCAGTCCCATACCAATCCAGACCAGACAAGACTTGGATAGTTATGAAATACAAAGAGACCAGACAAGATCAAACCAGAAAATTTCTGTCCACGTAAAAACATCCTTATGCACTTTTTCTTAAATCCCTAAAATAATCACCACCCACAAATAGACACACATGATCTTCTAGTACATAGCTAGAATTAGAAGGCTTTCAGGAAGCATCATACCTTCTGATTTTTCACTGCTTCACCTTTTAAAATATCCTCATTCTTATGGCTTTTTAGATTGCTCAATAGCTCTCTGAAAATAAATGACAAAATAGAGTTATACGTAGTATATCACAAATCATTTGCAATGCAGTACCATATGAAAAATAGAACTTAAAAGATATTCTTAGAAATAAGCCTTCCAAATGTATAGAGTTGTTTAATAACTATGGCAGTATGGGACTGGCACTCTTGCAGTATGCCCTATTGCAGACAAGGAATTTACAGTTTTGGCGCATATAGCTCATCTGTTAGCTTTTCTTAAACTTCATATGCCACATAATTATAACAAAAGAAAACTCAACTCAGTAATTCTCCTAAAAGAGGTACAATTAAAGATAATTGATCTTACTGCTCAGTTTGCTGTAGTTTCCTATATTCATTCTCAAGCTCCTCCATTTCAGCATTCTTTAGCACCTCCTTTTGTTCCGCTTCCTCATAATCGTCTTCATCACCAGATTCATTCTTTTCATAGGAACCCGCTTCTTCTTCATCTTCGTCACCAAAATCATCACTTTCAGTGTTTCCCTCTTCCCCGTCGTCACTTACGACATTTTCCTCCTCCTCTTCGTCCTAATAACGGTAAGCGAGAACTAGTAAATAAAATAATTTAACAAGTAGAGAGATAGGTATGTAGAGACAACAAAAAAGAACCAACATTAGATGATATATTATCTAGAACTTCATCACTGTCGATTTCAGAACCACTTTCACTCTCTGTTATCGTTTTTTGGGATGGCTTTCTAAACTTCCCCATCTCTTTAAGCCCCCAAAAACGAAAAGGACAGAAAGTTCAGGAGAACTGGAAGGTCCAGAGGGGAGCTTGAGATTCGAAGTATGAAGAGTTTCGGATAATAACGGAAAATCGTTGCAGGAGGAGACACAGGGGACTCGTCTGTCCTGAATGCAGTGAAGGAAAAAAGGGGAGGAGCGCAGCCAACGATACACGAAGATGAAGAATCGACTTCTGTCCTCTTGGGCTTGCCTTGTTAGAACACCGGGCCTAATCACACTACCCATTTAACAAGGGGCCTGTTTGGTTACCGGTTAGCAAATTATATTAGCGGGTAGTAGAAAACGGATTTGATCAGTGAATTAGTTTGGTGGGTTGCAAAAAGATATTTGATAAATTAGTTTTTTAGTTGTAGCAGTTAGTTGGAATTTTCAAACTGTTTTAGTCCTATTTCGGAAACTTTCCCATTTAGAGTATTTACCCAAAATAGGACTAAAAAGGTTTGGAAATTCCAAAATAGGACTGACATGTTTTTATTTCCAAAATAGAACTAATTACTGTCATGTTTTGACAGTACCAGACTTCAAACATAGCAGTATTTTCCAAACTTGACAGTAATTATCCTATTTTGGGAATAAAAAATATGACAGTCCTATTTTGGAATTTTCAAACTGTTTTAGTCCTATTTCGGAAACTTTCCCTAAAATTTAAGCATTTGTTTTTTGTGTAATACAACGTATGAGTTTAGGACTATACTAATTTCAAAATTAACTACTTAATAAATAATACTCCCTCCGTAACTTAAAAAATCTTTTCATTTCAAAAGTAGGTAGATTAAAAATATTGAAAGATGATATGAATTATTGAGAGTATGATGAGAAGGTAGTGGAATAATGCGTTGGAAAGAAGGATAAATCCCAAAAAATAGTTGTAATAGTGTATTATTTTTAAAATTATTGAGGGTATGATGTGAAGATTTAGAAATGAGAAATTTTTTTGTTACGGTTGAAAAAGGAAAGTTGGGAAGATTTTTTTTACAGAGGAGTAGTATGATAACCCCCTATAAAAAATAAAACAACAATGTTTGATATACTCATTTTTATACCCACCATGTTTGCGAAGTGTTTTTTTTTATGAACCCAGTCACGGACAATATTTTGTCTATGCGAAATATTGTCTGTGACTCGGGGGTTCACTGACAAAAAATAACTTTCACTAACATGAGTGTGTACAAAAGTGGGTATAAGAGTGGGTACCAACGTCATTTTTGCAAAAAAAAAAAATAATAATAATAAGATATAAGAAGTGAAACTATAGTGCAGTTGCAGTGGTGTGAATGTTTGATATGTGATCATGATTTTTAGAACAATGAAGACTGCAGAAGGATAAATAATTTGATAAATTGTAAATCTAGAGTATTACATAGCTACGTATTTATAAATCAAAAGTCAAAACAGAGATCCAGTAGATGAAGGGTCAATATATACGTACCTTTGAGAAAAATCTAAAGGCCTTTTTCAGCATCCTGCTTGTACAAGAGAAAGAAACCGTAGATCTTCAAGTGGCTGCAACAAAACAGAATACGAAGATGAGGGTAGGGGTGGGCTCCAGCCCAGCTCAATTTTTTTTTTTAAATAATTATCAGCCCATCGCAAAATTAATTCTCAGCCGAGTGGCAGAACGCGGAACTCAGTTACTCAGGACTGTGACGATAAGTCGATAACGCTATGGCGCTGCGACCTAGCGACAAAGACACGAACACCAGGGCCCTATGTCGGCCGTTCTTCCTCTCCGGCCTTTCCTGCGGGCTGCGTCTCTGCCTCTAGCTCCAGTCTCTAGGGAGTCCGCTCAGTCCACGTATAGTTTAACAACTTAGGGTGTTTTTACTTGGACTGTAATTTGTCCCTGACCAGACCAGATCAGATCAGACTTGGATAGTTATAAAAATACAAAGAGACCAGACCAGTTCAGATCAGACCAGCAAATTACAGTTCAAGTAAAAACATCCGTAGTCTTTTAGATTTTTAATCATTTATGGTGTTATTCTTTTAGGGTTAGGAAAACAATTAGATTATTTTATAGGCCAAAGGATCAAATAGGCCATCGAACTAACTTAAAAAGTGCAATTCACCTCTTATGTAGGAGGTTCTGTCCGACTGTCGCCAATTGGGTATATTTTCTTAAACAAAAATCAGAGGCCTTTGAAGCATTCAAGAAATTTAAGGCTCTTATTGAGAAAGAAAGTGCGTACGTTATTAAAGCCATGAGATCAGATCGGAGTGGAGAGTTCACATCAAAGGAGTTCAATCAATTTTGTGAAGATAATGGCATTCGCCGTCCCATGACTGTCCCGCGCACACCACAACAAAATGGTGTTGGCGAAAGAAAGAATAGGACTATCCTCAGCATGGCTCGAAGCATGCTAAAGACGAAGAATATGTCAAAAGAATTTTGGGTTGAAACTGTAGATTGTGTCGTCTATATACAAAATCGCTGTCCCACGAAGAGTCTAGATGGAATAACTCCACAAGAAGCATGGCATGGAGGTAAACCTAGAGTCTCACACTTGAGAGTATTTGGATGCATTGCATATGCTCATGTTCCTGATCAAACTTGATCAAAACTCGACGACAAGAGTAAGAAGTTTGTATTCATTGGATATGACAAACACTCAAAAGGGTACAAACTCTACAATCCGGATTTGAAGAAGCTTAATAATAAGTCGTGATGTGTAGTTTGATGAAGAAGGCTTGTGGGATTGGAGCATTGATGACAAAGAAGACTATAGTCTCTTATCTCCCATGGAATATGAAGAAGAAGTTGAAGAGAATCATGAAAATATAACTCCTCCACCATCTCCCACTCAAGCTCAATCTTCCCCACCAAGTTCGGATGAAAGAGAAGTACCACGCATGAGAAACATTGAAGAGCTTTACGAGGTAACACAAAACTTGAACTCAAGTGATGAACTTACGTTCTTTTGTCTATCTGGTGATTGCGAGCCACTAAGTTTTGAAGAAGCCACAAGAAATAATAAGGAGATAAGTGTCAGTTTGGTACATCAACTTGGGAGCGGGGGAGTAAAGAGTACATCAACTTACAATTGGGATCCATAGGTACACAAAATTGTCAAAACGGGTCTAATTTGGTCCTACGTGGTATTAGACTTGGTAAATTGCTTAGTTGGCCATAGGATTAGTGAGTTGGGCTAAAAAATAACCACCTCAGCAAAGGAGGAAGGAAAAAAGCTACGAAGTCTAGAGGTCAAAATCTGGATTTCGCAGATCATCTAGGTTGGAATCGCCGGAGTTGCCGGAGCCGCCAGAGCCGCCGCCACCGTCCCAGCCGCCGTGGGACCCCGGGCGAGGTTACCTGCACCAGGTAAAGCTCGATGCAGCATCCCAGGTCTCGCGGCCCCATTTTCTGGTAAAACTCCGCTCATAGAGGAGTCGTTCATGGCTCGCAGCTGTTTCCGGCGGCCACTGCCCGAGTCTCCCCGCCGCCGCTCGATGTCACCCATCAGCCGCTGGTCGCTCCTCCACCTGGTCAGATGCCGCTCGAGCATCCATGAGTCTGCCGACGCGAGCAAAGGGATCTGCCAGTTGACGGTTCCTTGATTTTAGCCATTAATGGCGTTTTGGAGCTCAAGGAAGGTACGCTTTGAAGCTCCACCGGACCCCAACAAGGCCGGCCTCCGTTGCTCCCTTGCGCCGCGGCAACTGCCCTTACCGCTGTCGGTAAGTGGCCATCTCAGGCTGCTCACTAATCCTATGGCCAGCTCAGCAATTCACTAAGCTTAATACCAGGTAGGACCAAATTAGACCCATTTTGACAATTTTGTGTACCTATGGATCCCAATTGCAGGTTGATGTACTCTTTACTCCCCCGCTCCCAAGTTGATGTACCAAACTGACACTTATCTCAAATAATAAGTGGAGAGATGCAATGGATGACGAGATCAAGTCAATTGTGAAGAATAAAACATGGGAGCTAGCTACACTTCCACCAAAGCATAAAGCAATTGGAGTTAAGTGGGTATATAAGATCAAGAAAAATGCAAAAGGAGAAGTTGAGAAGTACAAAGCAAGACTAGTGGCCAAAGGCTACGCCCAAAGACATGGCATTGATTATGAAGAAGTATTTGCGCCTGTTGCTAGATTGGAATCAATAAGATTGATAATCGCACTCGCGGCACACAACAAGTGGAAGATACATCAAATGGATGTCAAGTCCGCGTTCTTGAATGGGTTCTTAGAAGAAGAAGCTACAGTGAGCAACCAAATGTTACAAAGTGTTGAGGCTAAGAAATGCTCATTATGAGCTTAAACAAGCACCAAGATCTTGGAATAGTAGAATTGACGAGTACTTCAAACCTAATGGATTCGTGAAGTGTCCACAAGAACATGCACTATATGTAAAGAAAAATCATCAAGGAGACATATTGTTGGTGTGCATATACGTGGACGATCTCATCTTTACAGGTAATAACATGACAATGTTCGATGAGTTTAAACAAGTCATGACAAGGGAGTTCGAGATGACTGACAAGGGAGATGGTATATTCATCACTCAAGAAGGATATGCGAGAGAAGTACTCAAGAAGTTCAACATGGAGGACTCCAAACCTGTAAGTACACATGTTCAAAGTGGACTAAAGCTATCAAGGTATGATAAAGGAAAATTGATTGATCCAACTTACTTTAAGAGTCTTGTGGGGAGCTTAAGATACTTAACATGTACACCGCCGGATATTCTATTCGGTGTTGGACTTGTTAGTCGATTCATGGAGGCCCCCACAACGACTCATTTGAAGGCCGAAAAAAGGATTTTGCGATATCTCAATGGCACCGCCGAATATGGGCTGTTTTACTCTTCATCTGACGAGTTTAAGTTGGTTGGATATTGCGATTGTGACTGGGGTGGAGATATCGATGACTGCAAGAGCACAACTGGGTTCGTGTTTTACCTGGGAAACACCGCTTTCACATGGGTTTTAAGGAAGCAATTGATAGTCACTCTATCCACTTGTGAAGCCGAGTACGTTGCAGCAACATCAAGTGTGTGTCATGCAATTTGGCTCCGCTACATATTGCAAGCTCTCGACATGTCTCAAGAAGAAGTAACAACAATATTCGTGGATAACAAGTCAACTATTGCATTAGCAAAGAATCCAATGTTTCATGATCGAAGTAAACACATAGAAACTCGATATCATTTCATCCGGGGAAAGATAGCAAAGATGGAAGTTC